GGCTAGAGAACGTTTTTAGCCCCCCGTTGAAAAATATTTCTGAAATTTACTTCAGGACTTTCCTCGAAAGCTGGCAGAACATGCAAATTAATACAAAAAAAGAGTTTTTTCAAGATTTTAGAGCGTCTCAACTCAGCAAAAAAAGTTTTCCTAGTAAGGTAGACGCATAGGTCTTTTTGTGAGGCCAGGATTCATGTCCCTATTTTTTTCAAGCCGTATTTTTTTTATAACTTTGATATATTTTACCAATGAATTTTGATGTGGAGTTTTATAAATAAGAGATTTCTAGGGTCTGAAAAGAGCTCCAAAAAGAAGAAACCGGATAAAACGGTTACTTTCTCCCCCCTTTTTCGGCGGCAAACAATACTTTGCACGAATCGTTCCAATTTCGCCGCCTTTTTCCTTTTTTTTCTCGGAATTCTGATCTTCGCGCTTCTTTTTATGTGTTTCTACTATGATTTTTTCGATTTGGAGAAGCTTTTTTAAAATTTTTTTTTTTTGACTTAAACTTTTGTGAAATTACATTTTTTTCTACCGATTTTACGTCTGTTAAGCTAGGACTTTTGAGTTTTTTTATTTTTTTATTGGAATTTTCAGAATTTAAATTTGAAAAAAATTTTAATTAAAAAGTAAAATAGGGGTGTCTAAGTTTTTGAATGAAGAAATTATTAATTTACGTGAAATTCTTAAAATTTCAACAGGGGGTTTTTACTTTAATATTTTGATATTTTGGTCTGAATTTTTATTGAATTGATTTTTTTACATGGTTTCGAGGCCTTTGAGAATTCAGCCCAGAATGTTCAGGCTCAGTAGGTCGAGTGTTCGCGTAAATATGCGATCCACGAATACAGAAGATCAAGTTCTTTTTTCACCTTTTCTTGTGAATTTTGGACCTTTTCGAGAAGATTACAAGACGGATAGGTATTTGTGAATCGAGAACTTGAAAAGTTTCGAACTGCTTTTTTGATGATTCTGAATAGATTTTCTTTTCAGAAAACAAGAAAGAAGGAAAAAATTGAGTGTAGCCTGATAAATAAAGACGATCCATCAGCGTTTCTGCGACCGGTTCCGTTTTCCAAGTCCACTGGCCTTTTCTGTATTTTTGAGCTGTTTTCGGAAAGTTTTACTGGTTTTTTGTCATTTTTAAGTTGTAAAAACACACTTTTTTTGTGAGTGAAACTTGAGATATTATAGAAACTTTGATTTTTTTTTTTTTTTTCGATCTTTCTCACGTGTTTTTTATACTATTGTTTTGATATGATAGAGGAAACATTTTTGTCATGAGTTTTTTTTATTCTGTTAGAATTGGGCAAAACTTTGATAAAATATACTATGAAGTTTATTCTCCAAAAGTTCTCTGACTCCTTTTCTCCTCGAAAGATTTACTCTGGATGTTTTTTTATTAGCACTTCTTTTTTCCCCTCCATCTACATTTTCAACCACTTAAAACCGGCCCAACATCGGATGAATGTGTTGTTTTTCTCTTTCCGAGTAAAAGCAACCGCCGCGACTTTAGCCTGACATCTGACCCATGGAGAACCAGTTCGGTTTCCAGCCAGCCAATATATATTGGAAGCGAAAGAACTTGGTAGCAAACCACGGCAGAAACGAAGGAAAGGAAAAAAAAAGAGGCTATCAACATTTGTCTTCCATGGTTTCTGGTCACCCTTTTTTCGTAGGATTGCTTGAAGTTTCCATGAAACGAAGTCGTTGTTTTTTCTATTTTTCAACCTGTATTTTGATTTTGAGACTTTAAAACCTTTAAAAAGGTCCTTAGAAACGCCAGAGCGGTCCCTATAGGGGTTAGGGGAAAAAGCCTCTGTGGGGGATCAAAAGTGCCCCTTCCATGTAGTTCTCATAGGGATTTAGGGTCTGACCCCCACAGCTCAAGTGGTCCCCTATAGGGTCTTTTAATTTTTTGTTTGGATTCGAAAAAAAAATGACCGATTAGCATGTCCCTGTTGCGGCCATTTTCGCAAGATTTAGGGGCCCTTATAGGGAAGGTAAAGGGGTCCCTAGAAGGTAATTTTAAAGGACCCTTAAGATTGCTCCTCTAAAGATCTAAATTTTCTCAGATTTCTCAAGAGCCTTGTTTATTTCAAAAACACTTGAAAAAGTCTCTCCGCCTAAAATAACACTGAAAAATTTTTTAGAGAGTAGGGTTTTCTGCTACTCTAAAAAGCTATGAAGTTGAGATTTTACATCAAACTAGCCTTCCTAACGCCAGAGCGCCTGGAAAAAAGCCGTTTCAATGTGTCCTCAAAACAGTGGCTTTCCAACAAAATTGCTGTCTGAACCCAGATCAAGAGCTGAAGAATGATGACCAGCAGGCCAATTACAACTGGGATTAAGGAAGAAGACTCTATCGAGGGCCAGTAGCGAGTTTGTGTTTGCGTGCGTGTGCCGTCGTTGTCGTCGCGGCTTCTCCTCCACGCCGTCGCCTAATCCGCCGCCTAATCCGCCGTCCGCCGCCTTGTCAGTCCGCGTCCGTCATTCCGTCCGCCGCTGCCGTAGGCCGCTCACGTTTTTTTTCCTTTTTTTGTTTTATTCCTGTTGTTAGTAGCTTCATTGAGGCTTCTTCTCTTTCTAGGTCTTTAGAAAGAAGCGTGAAAGCCATGACATTTAAGCTGGATTTTTCGTTACTCAAGGGGCCTTTAAAGAAGTTTCTTCTAAAGTTATTGCCCTTTAAGCACCTTCTTCCTTTTTTTTTTCCAATTTTGTCACTTCAAAGGTCTTTTGTACCTTCCAACCAACTCTTCAACTTTTCATAACTTATTAACCGTCGTCAGGTCACTCGTAAGGTCATCCACTTGGTCATGAAATTCGCGAAATTTTTCCGGCCCATTGAAGTTGGCGAAAGAATAAAAAAAGTCGTGTCTTTCTCCTGCACCCAAATATATCGTGTGAAATGCACATTTCGGAAAATGTTGTCGAGTTTTTCGAGGACCATTCAACGGCGCCTTTTCGATTTCAGTTCTTCGACCTGCCGAATGCTTGAGTTTTTCAATAATCAATCCAAAAAGAAGAAAAGAATGGATGATGACGAAACTCGTCTTTATCCCAAGCGCCTCGAAGCCCCATCATTGATTAGTTGAACGCGCCGTTTTTTTTTCGTCTTTTTGATTGGAACGGCTTTTTTGATCCTACCAAGTCTTCCGGCTTAGTTCCTTTCAATTATACCCCCGTCATTCTCGACGGCGTTCTCTGATTATCGGATCGTTTTTTCTTTCTCGATTCGTCTTTTCTTGGCAGATTAGCCGTTTTGAGAAAATGATCTTCAAAAATATGTGGGGACATAGATCATTATAAAGTATGCCCAATTTTATGTCCTTTTATTGAACTTATTTCTTGGTTTTTGAATCCGAACGAAAATCGAGGTGAACGGTTAGAAGGGCTTTTAAAATATTTTTCATTTTTTTAAGCGTTTTTTTCATGGAAAAATTGTTCAAAAAAATAGTAACTTTTTTTCTTTCAAAAAAATGGTTTTGATTGTTTTTTTAAAGTCTTACAGTATACTTACCCATCTACAGTATCCATAAAACAGACCAAAAACCGTTGAGCTCTAATTTTTCTCATTCTTATTCCCGTCTAGACCCATAGACCTTCAATAATTCACTTTTTTTCACCAATTTCTCAAAATTAGCGGGAATCTTCTGAACGTCAATTTGTCACTGAATCCTTTTCATAAATCTCTCAACCCACCTTTTTTTTCGGTCCTCTACGTTTTCCCTATTTCCGCCGAAAAGAAGAAGACCATTAAATTAGGAGAAACGCCAAGCTTTTCGTTTCCTTTTTTTCTCATGAATAGGATGGACATCTGTCCGACGTTTCACTTGGCCTTTTACTTTAATTGCCCCCAAGGCTTTTCGACCTTTTTACCTTCCTTTCGCTTGGTTCTTGAGTGCTACAGACTCCAGTTGTTTCGGATTCATTTCCAGCTTTTTCCTCTGTTCTGGGAGGTTAGTTTTCAAGGTTCTGATCTCCTTTTTATATTTTATCAAGACTAGCGAAGATCAACTTCTTCAAAAAAAAAAATTCTCTCACTTCTCGAATTTTTGAAATCAACAGCGGAGCGCGAAAGATCCAGCATCTGACGGCTTTAATTTCACCTAGATTGTATCGTTTTTTAATGGTTTGATGAGATTTAGCTGCGAAAAAGTGCGCGGGGTAGCTAATTCTGAGTCGCAACGTCCATTTTTGGGAACGGTCGACTTTTAATCCTTCTGTTGTTTGTTTCTAGTTATTCTTCTGTTTGTGAATGGCTTGGATTGGGTCATTTTTGATTCTCATGGAACACTGTGAGGTTCATCGCCACTTATTTCATGGGGCTGAAATTTCAGGTTGTAGTTTTGATTTTTAATTCTAATTATTTAACGGCCTTCTGTTGGAACTTTTTATCTTTTTTTTTAGCCTCAACTGAGAATTTTTTTTCACAGATACGTGTTTCTAGCTTCTTTTGGGTCTTTTGGTTCTTTTTGGTCAGCTTCTTTTGAATGGATACTAAGTAGTGCAGTCTGACTCTTTGAAGGCCAGAAAACGGTCCTTTCTCACTTTTCAGGAGCGTCTGGATCTTTTCAACGACTTTTCTTTTTTAATAACAGTTTTTTTCCCTAGAATGCTTCGAATGGATATTGAGTAGTTTTTTGAAGATCTTGGATCGCACCTGGTTCAACCTGACTTGACATTCACCTCGATTAGTCTTCCGGATAGGCGGTACCCTTTTTACAGATTTTTTTTTATGAAATTGAGAAGGAGAACCCCCAGAAGTACCCGTGTATCTTTCTCCTTTGTGAATAATTTTTCTCCATAATTTTTAAAAAGGTGTATTTCTTCACAACTTCTTGGACAACACCTGGTTCAGCTGACTTGAAATTCATCTTGATAAGTCCTCTAGGTAGCCGCTACCGCTGTGATCATTCTTTTCTTTCATGAACCTGAGTAGGAGAAGTCACAGAAGTACCTTTTATCAGATATTAGATTTTTCCAATCGTTCTCCTTTCTTAATTTGTCTTCTCTGCATGAGTTCCAAGAGGTGCTTCAAAGACAAACTCCACAACTCTTTGGACCTTGACTAGGAATCCACCTCGATCAGTCTCCTCCAGATAGCCGGTACCGTTTTGACGGCCGTGTGTCCAGGTTGATGGGCCACAACCCGTCGGAATCTCCTCCTGTGTGTATCTGTATGTGTGTGTGTGCTTGTGTGCAACGGTCCGTGTCACCCAAATCTGCTGCTTGCGGCGTCGGCGCCGAACCTTTGGGCCTTGTTTCCGACCGGCGCAACGCAACGCTTCACTTCTGACCGGCTCAACTCTCTCCCGCCGCTCCGTTACTTTTTTGTCGCCTTTTTTTGCAACGCTTCTTTGTTTGATCTGCTTTTGGTAGCCGTACTGGAAAGCTCTGAAACTTTTGAATCCGGCAAAAAGTGAGCTTCTGTTACTTTTTTTTATAGTTTTTAAAGTGCAATTGTCTTAAAAAGCTATGTTTGAGGTTGTAGTACAGGATAGATAAATCGTAATTTTTTGGAATTTCTTCGAAGCCTTTGAAATCACTCGGGAATGAGCTCTGAATTTTTTGGTACTAGAATAATTTTCAAGAATGTAACTATTGAAAAATAGCTATAAGAAGCCTTGATAGATATAGTTCGAAACAAGGAATATTTTCAAATATTTTTCACCTTTTTGAAGGAAAAAAGGCTCTGTTAACCTTATAAAGTTTTGAAAAATGACCTTTCGGGCTCTATAAAAAAGGGATATTTGCGGATTCACACAAGGCAAAAATCTGATTTCTAACCTTTTTTTGGTGTGAACGTTCTGTTTAAGGGCTCCATTTGAGCTCAGCTAGCGCTCCTCGTAAATTTTGAAAATCAGGGTTCTTATTTTCAGCTTGTCTGAGCTGTAAAAGCTCGTAGGTCAGGATTTTTCAATTCTCTGTCGGCCAAACTAAGTATAAGAAATCAGCGGAATCCAACGAAAACCTCGGAACTCACTGTTGGCAGCTGCCCCGGCCCGATCAACGGCGACGTTGCGAAGGCCGTTTGCCGCCATTTCTACATACATATAAATGGATTTCGGGCCGTTTTGCCGCCGCCGTCTGTCCACTTTTCGCCTTCGTTTTCTCCACGCAGGGCCGCCTCATTCATTATCCCATTTATATGTATGTGGTGGTGGTCATCCGCCGTTCGCCATGTCAAGTGCAAATGTTCGTCCGATTTGTTTGTTCAAAGACGTCGTCGGTTTCCTAGCTCAAGTCTTTGGAGCTTGATCTTCCTGGAAGGATGGAGCTTCGGTTTTGAAATTTGCTATTTTTTTGAGATCTTTGACATTTTTTCTGTGCTCTTGAAGGTCGTCTTAATTTGCATTCTTATTTCAAAATTTGCTTAGAAACTTTTTTTTCAATTTTTTTTTTTCAAAGTCGACCAACAAAACTCATCATCATCATCATTTATTCAATACAAATAATAATACAAAGCGAGTAGCTTCTTCAAGTTTTCAGGCCTAAAAGTCAAGTCAAAAAATGTTTAATAAAACTTACGGTTCAGAAATGTTTAAGGCTTCTTTTTCAAAGGCTAGAATTTTTTCCCAGGCCAATCAGTTTATGAAAAAGCCTCTAATTTGTCTTTAAAAAAAGCGTTTGAAAATTCCTTTTTCAGTGACCATCTTTTAAAAATAATTGTACCTTTCAGCACCACAGCTACTCGTTTTCAAGTGTTTGTTGTTCTAAAAAAAATTTTAACCCTTTCATTTTGTGATAGAATTTATTCTCCTCCTTCAAACCGCTTTTTTTGACTCTCTTTTTGTGAGAATTTACAGTTAAAAAGGACAGATAGACCCGAATAACTGATTATTTTTTTAAATTGACATATTTCGAACGTTTATCTTTCTTTTTGGGACTGTCTGGAGTCATAATTATTTTTTTAAAAGATTTTCTTGGCCATTATAGTTTGAACTTTCAAAAATTATCAGCGTTTCCTGTTGATCAAATATACCGTTTTTTTAGCCATATTTTTTTCTCAATTCGATTTTTCCGTATAAGTCTTATCAATATTTTTTTGATCATTTTCAAAAAAACGATCCGCCTGAATTCCTGCAATTTTTTTCTTCATCTAATTACCCCCCATTTTTTTCCCACTTGTTTCCTCCATAACCTTGGCCATTTGTCAGTTTTTCCTCCCCGACATTTCATCCATTCTGCAAATTCCATTAATAACAGAAAAAAACGTCTAACGGTGTCCTGAAGGTCGATCGGAATGAGTTTGACTGAAAAAAACGGATGCCGTAGACACTTTTCGCGCAGTTCATTTTGATGCGACTCCCTCGTCGGCAATTTTTCTGCGGACTTTTGACCAATTATTTTCGTTTTTTTTTTAGATTTTCGGCCACTTGGCTTTGATTATGCGTTTTTACAGTTGAATAGTTCTATTTTTCTGGGAGATCCTCATTTTTGAAAAATGCTTTGGATCGGTGCTCAGACAACTGATTACAGTAGCTGTGCATTAAAATTTGAAAGAAACGAAGAAAAAAGCGAAAATCCGCAAAATGGCGAAGCCTGTTGTCCATAGAGCAACTTTACTGCAAAGCGCCCTTTTCGCGGGAACTCAAACTTTCCTTACTCCGACTTCGAATAATTTTTTCTTCAAAACTAGGAACTTCTGTACGTTTCCTTCACTGTTCGATTCGCAATGAAAAACTCTACAAAGTACTGCTTTGAACTGAAACACCGTTTTTTTAACTGCCCCTATTCCTTTAAGTCAAGAGAAGTTGATAGAAAGGAGAAAATTGAAAGAAAGGTTTTTTGCGACTATAGTACCTCTCGTTTTGTAGATTCTAACTGTCCTGAAAATTCTAAAATCAGAAATTATGATTTAAAAAAAAATCCAACTGCATTTTGATATGATTTAATGAACAGTTAGTGTTGGAATAGATTGAAAATTCTCTCTTTCAAAGTTTTTCTTCTCTCTCCTTTTTGTGAATTTTCCGTCTTTCCCTTCCTAATACTGATTTTTGTCCCATTTTTATTGAATCTTTTCCAGAAAATACGTACGACAACGAGCCGATCAGCATGTGATCATGGGCGGTGTGCCCCCGTTAAGACCTGAACTCGAATGGCTGTTCCCCAAAGAGGTTTCGGTTGAAAATTCAGAATTTTTGATGAAAAATGAGATGAAACTTCATTTTTGTTTTGCTTCAAGCTCTTTAAGAAAAGCTTAGAAAAGCTCTGAAAAGCTCAAATTTTTGAAAAACTGAAAAAATTAGAAAATACACACACATTGAAACAAGCTGCGGAATTTTAGGTCTAAACGGAGCAAATCCGACCCTTTGAGCCATTCCAATTGCGGCCCGCGAAAAATGAAGTTTACCCCAATTAAATCGCTCACCTAGTTCCCATGACAGCTATTCGAAACGCAATCAGTGCGTGTCTTTTTTTGATTTCTGGGCCAAATCAATTAACATGCAACAACTTTCACAGGAGATCAAAAAAGGCAAAACCAAGGCTGAGAAGGCCCTTTTTTCATCCTCGAACGTAGGAATTTGGAAAGTCCTCCAAGGTTATTTAGAAATGAGTTAACAACGGGGTTCTGTGACAGAGTAAGCAAAAAAAAAGAAATTTGTTGTGAGAATTAAGATGCGGAAAAATAGGTACGGCTAATTGGTTTCGTTGAGCCTTGTGCGATTCTGGAAGTTATTGGAACTCAATTTTTTAGGCTTCACAACAATTTTATATATTAATTTTACACAGCAAAACATCCAATTTTCGCGACCTTTATCAGGCTTGGAACACTTGGACTTTCTTTTTTTATTACTTTTTCCCACATAGACAAAATTGTCCTTGAAACAGAGCAATGATTTTGGAAGGTTTCTAAATTTAAAAAAAAAAGCAGTTTTCAACCCTAGCATTGTAAAACTGATGAAGATGCCGACTCGAACTGAAAAGCAATTCTCAGGTGACGACGTCGTCGTCGGCTGTACTTCAGCGTGGCGCCGGCGAAGCTTCACTATCTTTTCTCGCCGATCATTCGCTAGCCCTAATCGCCGTTCTTTTTGTGAGTTTTCAATATTTTTTTCCAATTTTCATCAATTCTTCCAAATTCAGATGGTTGTCCTGTCCGTGGCTCTCCTCGCCGTCCTGGTTCAGTACAACTGTCAAAAGGAATCCGCACAGCCCCTTTCCCACACGCCAAGCCAGTGGACCACCTGTAGTACTGGTCAGTTTTCATTTTTTGAGCTGAATTTACAAAAAAACAAAACGGCAAAAAGGCATCTTCCCATGCCGGGAATCGAACCCGGGCCGCGTGGGTGAAAACCACGAATCCTAACCACTAGACCACATGGGATCCTGTCAGCTGGAAACGCCGGCGCCGCTATCCTCTCTGCGTAGCAGTGGAGAATGTAATGCAAGACTTAAAAAAAGTTTTGTATTTTAATTTTGCACTCGATAAAGTTAAAATTTTGCAAATTACATCAAAAAAAGATAGTTTTTAGGGTCTGAACGCCTAAAAAGTTGTTTTTTTTTTTGGAGATTTTTAATCTCAGCACTTTCAAGTGAGGTTAGTGGCGTTTTTCAGTGTTTGAAACGAGATTTTTAAATCTTACAAGACTTAATTTCAAAAAGATTGAGAATTTAGAACTGAATCCCTCTTTTGAAACTTGTCATTTTTCACCAAGTAGAATATTTCCATATTAACTAAATGTTCATGAATGCGACAAAAAATTATATTTTCGAGCTTTCCGGTCAGGACAATGAAAAACAGACGAAAAGGAAACGGCTAAAAGCGCACTTTTGTGGAGCAAAGACGCGCCGGCGTAAAGGATTACTGTGGCCGAAAGGCCGGAAAAGACCGACTGACCCTCTTGGAATGCGGCTTCACTTTCCTCTTATTTTGCGGCACACGAAAAGCAACATTTTCCATTTATAATCTTTCCATTTTCTCCTATTCAATCCGTAGGAAATATTTATCTTGGGAGCAAAATGTGCAACTTCTTGCTCTCAACCAAAAAAAAAACACTAAACAGTTTCGTCAACAAATTTTTCTCTTTTCTTACATAAACAAGTTTATTTCGTCTTCTATTGTTAGCTTCTGCAAATAGTAGCGCCCTCTGTGTCATCTTGTTGAAAAAAAAACTGTGTCATGTTGAAGGAACTATTTAGTTTCCTGTAGTTGTTCCCAAGAACCATTTAGTTTCGCCTTTTGTGTATAGGAACATCCTTTTTACCTGACGGCTTACTCGCACAGTGACGCATAACACAGCTTTTTAAAAACAATTTTAAAGTTGAAAAATCCATTTTGTTGAATTAATGTTGAGAAGGTTTTGACGTTTTAGTGGCGCTATAGTAGTCGAATCAATGATCACTTAAGAGGAAAGGATTTAGTGGCCTCTTTAGAATTCTAATATATTAGGCTTCTAGGCTTCGTCTCGTTATGAGACAACAAATAAATTGAGAAAATTTTAGTGGCCTCTTTAGGATTTTTAAGCTTCAGTGGCCTCTATAGTAGTCGAATTGGTGGCCACTTTAGGATTTTTAAGCTTCAGTGGCCTCTATAGTAGTCGAATTGGTGGCCACTTTAGGATTTTTAAGCTTCAGTGGCCTCTATAGTAGTCGAATTGGTGGCCACTTAAGTGGCAAGAATTTAGTGGCCTGTTTAGAAGTCCAAGTAGTACTATATACTAGACCACTAAAATATTTTAGGTTTCTATAGAGGTGGGTTTAGTGGCCACTTTAGAGTCACCCCGAATAGCCCTTGAGGTGCTTCTTAAGTGATCACTGAAGTTTTTCCCAGTATTCTATAATTTCTACCGCTGAAATCAGGGCGACTCGATCCGCTAAATACTTTGTCGCCACTATGAATCACAATGTGCTACGTTTCGTTTTTTTTTTCGCCTTTTTTTCAAGAGATCCCCTCAGTCAGCCAGTGTCGGCTTCAAAGAAAATCACTTGAAAAATCCGTGCGCGGCGCCCTCCTTCATCTTCACTTTTTTCCTGTCATTTTATTCTATCTCTTTTCAGCTTGACCTCACGGCTTTTCATTAGGAGTTTTCTGAGTGTGAATTCCAATTTTATAGTCTTTTTCAATCCCAGATAACTTTCTAGAAGGTCCTGATTTACAATAAAAGCTCATTTTAAGCCATTTCTTTTTGAGATTTTTTTCCAACTTGAAGGAACTTTCAAATAAGAATTTTTTATACGATTTCTAAGACCACAGGTTCGATCCCTATGAGCTTCAAAAAAATTAGAGTTTTTTCACATTTTCTTTGAGCTTACTCTTCTCTTTCTTCGGGAAACGATCGAAAGCATAAAAACTCTTCGTTCAAAAAGTGAGCCCATTTCCTCGTGACGGCCAGGATCTGGAAAGAACGGACAGCGTAAAAGTGAAAAGCAAGTGTGCTCGGCCGAGACGTTGGACACGCCTTCATTCATTTTTTTTTTTTTTCGCTGCCATGTCTATTTGTTTGTGTTGGAAAGAGACGTGTGAGTTTTGTGCGTAACGTCCGTGGCTCCAGGAGAACCGTAACTTCTTTTTTTCTCTTTTTCTCTGAAAGGGAGCAGCACGATCTCCGGATTTCGCGTGGTCTCTCTACGGCTCTCTCTCGAGCCGAACCAGCTTTTTGGGAGGCTCATCGCCGTGGCATGCTCACACAAATGCTCGCCGCCCGCACCGCCACAGTTTTCTGCGCTTTTCCAACCGACAAATTTGAGGCAGCGTGTGTTGGCTTATCGATTTTATTGATTGATTTTCTTAAGGATGATCTAGTGATTTTTTCATTGAAGTTTAAAAGTAGTATACTGTAGCCAAGGGAATGCCGCAGATCGTTTCTTGAAGAAATTATTGAAGCTCCTGTTTATTTGCGTTTTGGCTTAGGAATTTTTTTTAGCTAATATTCACTTGTAGATTTTTCGAACGCGTTGCAGACCACTTGTATTTAAACCACCACCAGCCCTAAAATGCGAAAGTTGTTTTAGGGTCGGCTGCAGGGTAACCTTTGTGCCCCTTTTATGACTTGCAAAAAAAAATTGTTCACTCCTTTTTTACTGGATAATATTTTTTCATTAAAATTTTTCAATTCGAAAAGAATTTACGGAAGTTTTTGATCATCAAGAATTACGCCTTTTTTTTGGGTTTTCTATTATTGTGGAGCCCTTCTCATTCCGTTATTAGTGAATAATTTTATAGAATAGAGTTTTAAAAAAAGATTTCGAGCATAGAAAGATCATATGTCAGCAAGTTCATTGATTGATTTTGGAATGTATCTTCATCAGAAAATTGGACTTGAAGCTAAAAAAAAATTTTATTTCTATTCTCCTTGCTTATTTTAAAAGCTGAGTTGGAATTTTAATCCGCCTATTTTCGTGGAAAGGTTCCTTTTCTGAAACTATCTTCTACTTGATCTTTTCTTCGTTTCGCGATTTAGTGATTCTCTCCAAAATTGAAAATTCTCATCCGTAGTAGAATGGGCGAGGTGTTCATCAACCCGCTGTTCGACTCATCAGATTCCGACTCGGAACAGTCGTCCTCATCGCGATATCGCTCACTTTCCCAGCCGAGCCTTCCGCGATCTTCAAGACAATCCTCAGCAAGTGGTAGGGCTATTCCAGTTGTTTTCTTGCTTGTTTATTTTATCTCCAGACATATTTGAGCCTTCAAAGAAACTCAATTTTTGGGGAGTGTGATAGAATAGAGGACCTAAAGACGCGAAAGATGATTTTTTCTAAATGAAACTTAAACATTGTTAACAGTGACGCTATTTTGAGGAAATTCTCCCTTCAAAGCTAGTTTTTTTGTTTCGAGTTATTGCTGATTGTTCTGAAACCTTTTTCTCAAGAATTCACTGACTTTTTAAATCTAGAAAATCCAGAGTTGACTCTTCTATGCAAAAAATACGCATTTCGACTTGAAAAGCTTATTCAAGGCTTTTGAATAATACCTTTCTCGAATTTCTCTCCTTAAGCTATAAACTATACGATTGCCGAGAAAATCCAGTCCCAAGCCTTTTTTAAAGCCTTGAATGGAGAGCAATTTGGCCGTATATATGGGCTCCTTAGTTTTTCTTTTTCTGTGAGATTTGTTGGCATAAATTTCCGCCGGACCTCCGGACGTATTTCCTCTTTTTTCCATGTTTTTCTTTCGGATTTACGAGCTTTTTGGGATAAGCTCGGGTATTTCATACTTTCGGGGTGAAGTCAAGGATCGAAGAGAGATATGACTAAAATTATGATCCGAGGTGTATTCCAGCGTTTTTTTTTTTCATCTTGTGCTCGAAAAACACATTTCGCAGCGTGTTGGCAATGAATAAAACATACAAACGAGCATATGGGCACGATTCACATCAAACTCTCATCTATTTGGTCAGCTTTTGCCTTTGCGGCTGAAGAGAGGCGACTTTTCCAACTCGAAAAAGGTCTAAAATGTGGAACTAGTAATTTTTTGAAACACTTGGGTCATAAGTAGGAATTTTCTGCTGGAGGAAAAAGAAAAAATGATAAAAATCAAAAAAAGTAGTTTTTTAAAGCTATTGGCTCAGTAAGATAAGTTAGCAAAAAAATCTTAATTTTTTTGGAATTTTCTATAGCAAAAAAGAACCTTGAAGATTTTAGATCTTTTTCTTCAAAAATTCTTAGAAAAAAATTTTCTCGTCGCTTTTTCCTCATGTTTACCTGAACTTCCAATAACCTTTTAAAAAGTAACAGCAGTTGAAAAATAGGCAAAGGCGCGCCTTTGTAGATTTTTCCGTGTCATTTTTAGCTCGAGGAGGTGTGGTTTGGCCCAAAAAACATGATGCCATTTTACCTTGAATGGGAAAAGACATGATAAAAGGGGGTGGGAAGCATGAGAAAGGCAAATTCGCCTCTGGCTCTTCACTCAAATGGGTTGGTTTTTTTAAATTTCCTTTTTTTCGGCACATTTTTGAACTTTTTTAATGATAAACAAGGGTTCCTGGCATGGGAGAAAATAAATTTAGATTCAATAAAAAAATGTTAAATTTCAATGAAAGTTCCAAATTTTTTTCAGTCTCCTCGACGTATTCGACACAGGGGCTTCTGCAGCTGATCGGACCCGACCTGCGGCAATCACTTCAGGGACTACTTCTTCCTTCAGAAGCTGTCGTCCTCGAAACGATCGTCGGCAAAGGTTTGGGCGGTTTTTTTGTTAGGATCTAGGTTTTTGATTATTAAATTTGAAGCGAAAATGAGGGAAAATTATCTTTTAAACTTTAAAATGTGAGGCAAAAGCTATAAATAGGTGTCAAAGAGTTTTCTGGTCAATTTTAAGACATAGAAGATTAAAAAATTGTAGTCCTGTATTTTTAACTTATATGACTCAAGTTTCACCTTCTATCTTGAAACCGCTACGCAACCGCAACGCGCTTAGGGATTCCAGAGTGGTCCCTATAGAGGTTAGGGAAGAAAAAACCCCTATAGGGGGCCGAAAAAGAGGCCTCTAGAGTGGTAAAATTTAGGTTGTCCCTATAGGGACCACTCTGGAGTTCCTAAGCATTACGAAGGATTGATAGACTTTAAAAAACTTTAATAGAAATATCTTAGATACTCAGAAATCTTTGTGGAATTATTTTTTTTTTCCCAATATAGCGATGAAAAAATGACAGAAAAATTTTTAGCTAGCCAGCTTTTTTTTTCTGTTTTTCATGAACGATAATAATTTTCCACTATACAATCTTTTTTTCACACGCAACAAAAACAAGAAATCTCAAAGATGACTTTATTTTCCGATCTGTTCCAAATAACTACAATTTCTGATACTCAAATTGTTATTCCGTGTGCAGAGATTATTGCTATTTCGCATAAACATGTATAGTAAAGGTGGGTGGATGGAGAAAAAAAAAAAGAATTATTGTTTTGCACCGGAGGCTGAAGGGAGCTGCTTTATAATAATGGAATTTTTGAGTTCTTCTCCCTTTTGATGGCAAAAGTACTAAATTGAGAGACGTAAAGTTTTCCGAGGGCAAACTACTTGAAAGATTAGAGAAACTTGAGAAAAAACTCTGTTTACAAGCGAAAGTTTGAACGTTTTTCTTTGCTTTTGTACTTTGTTTTTTGGGGTTTTGAAAAGGTTCTGAAGGCAGGAATGAAAATAGTTGTAATTTTTAATTTTAAGATAGGTTATGTGAGAAAAATATAAGAAAAAAACTTTAGTTTGGCAGATGGAAAGTCTGGAAAAAAAAAATTAGTTTCGATTTTCTATTTTTAAATGTTCTTATACAACATTTTTCATACAAGAGGGGTCAGACTGGCTTGAATTAAGACAAGAATTTGAGTTATTTTTCACAAATATTGAGAAAAATGTATAGTTATTGTATGGAAAATGAGTTTCACAGTGGAGAGGATGAAAAAACCAAATTTGGCGAAAAAGATCAAAATTTCGAACTTTTCCTTTTTTTCAACTTTTTTAACAATGCATTTCTCATAAGAAATCAGCTGACCTGGCTCTCAAAATCGACAAAAACCAATCACTTTTAAGCCAAACAATCAAACAACACAGATAATATTTACGAAGGCCATGTTTTTCGGTTGTTTTCCCAACTTTTTCTTCCGTCTGATTTATTTTTTCTTACCAGGAGACAGGCTCTGCTGGTATGTGTCTCTGTGTGTCGTGTTTGCCGGAGGTTCACGTAGGCTCTCGAGAAATTTCTCGCGGCATTCGCACTTACAAAAGGCTTTTCCGCTTCGGCAAATACACACACACACGTTGACAAATGCGCGACGGCGCGTTGGATTTCGACGATTTTGGCGATAGGAACAAAAAAAAATGTGTGAAGCAAAGATAGCCGGAAGGAATAATTCTCAAGAAATTTAGATTTCGAACATAATCGTGACTATCGAAAGTTAAATTTAACTTGAAAAAGATAAACGCCGTTGTCGTAAGGGAAGTGGGCGGAGTTTTATAACTAGAAACTCTAAACTTTTAAAAAACTCGGGCAAAGTCGGAAAGGTGGATAATGGCCGCTAAAAGGGAGAGGCTCAAAAAAGGCCGCAGAAAGGCAGCAAGAAGAGTGGGGCGCGCCGTAGCGCAACAGGTTGTGTGCCTGTTTACGGTCCACAGGGTCACAAGTTCGATCCCCGCCCCGACCCAACCAAGGGGTTTAAGAAATGTTGGTAGTGGGAAACCACGACTTCAAAATCCCCAGCCGTCACACACAAGGACGGATATGTCACTCGAGCCAGTCCACTGATATCAGGATAGGACCTCGGCTGATCGACTTGGGGCGCCGACGCCGCTCAAGCGGTACAAAGGCGTAGGAAGAAGAAAGGCAGCAAGAAGAGTCCCTTTATCGAGCCTTCCATTTTTCTGGGACTTAAAAGGCTCGAGAATCGTGGGGAAAGAGAGAGGCAGCAAAAATGGTGCATAAGGGCTGAGAAAATAAAGCAAAAAGGGAGCCTTCATCCCCCTAAAAGGAACATTTCTATGAGGCTTTCCAGCAGCCTTTATGACCCTCGGAGGGTCCTTCCGAGTTTGCCTATGATTCTTAAAAAATTACTCACACAAATAAATTTTGAAACAGTGTTTGAGAAGCTTTTAAAGTTATAAAAGTACCAATTTTATCAAAAATTATCCAGGTTACTTTGGCAACGTGTACCGTGGACGAATGCGTGACCCATCTGGACGACTTATTCCGGTCGCTGTTAAAACGCTTAAAGGTAATTTTTTCAAATATCTTCCATCGAACTGTTTGAATGTGCCTTGAAGTGAGAAAACAGAAAATAGCTGAAGATTTCCAAAAGAAGAATAATAGTCAAGTTTGAAGAGATCCCAACCCCATGCTATAATCCTCTTTCAGGCGATCGCGCTCGCGACATCGCGCACATCGAGAAGTTCCTGCGAGAAGGCGTCGTGATGAAGCACCTCGACCATCCGCACGTGCTCTCTCTGCTGGGCATCTCGATCAGCCCCGCCGGCAATCCCTGGGTCGTGCTTCCTTACATGGAAGGCGGCGACCTCAAGACCTTTATCGCCGATCCCAACCGAGTAATCGAGAACATGAAGTTTGGGGGGTTGAAGACCTTTTTTCAGGCGCTATGTGTCCTGGAACTTCTCGACTTTGCCCATCAGGTCGCCCAAGGCATGGCCTATTTGTCGGCCCAGCACTTTGTCCACCGTGATCTTGCCGCTCGCAATTGCATGTAAGATCTCAGGAGACAAGCTCAGAGAGTCCAAAAAAGGGGCGGGTCTCTCTTTTTTAGCCAAGAGAGAAACCCTAAAAAACTTTTAAAAGCTTTTTTTCACTTTCTATTCGAAATATTCCAGCTCCTTTTTTTCAGGATTTCCGCGGACAGGACAGTCAAAGTCGCTGATTTCGGCCTTGCTGTCGATCTTCTCGACAAGGAGTCGTACATCGACGAGTCGGAGACCGGTTAGCTCAACCTTTTCGAGTCTGAACAATTTTTGGTTTGAAGGTCCGGCACGACTTCCCCTGAAATGGTTAGCGCCTGAAAGTCTCCGAGACCGTCGGGTTTTCAACGTAGCCACTGATGTCGTTAGTTTTATTTAATATTTAATGGGGTCTTCAAAATTGAACAACCTCCCAAGAAGTAAATTTCCAGTGGTCGTTCGGCGTTTTAATGTGGGAGCTTCTGACACGTGCCGCTTCGCCTTACGGCGATGTCTCCAATGCTAAAGTTCGTTATATTTTTGAATGATATATCGATTTTAAACTAGAAAAATGAAAAACGCGTATTTAAGGTTCGACATTACCTCGAAACAGGCATGCGGCTACCACAACCAACGCATTGTCCGGATATTGTGTGAGTTATGACTTTTTTGAAGTAGGAATGATTGAGAATAACCCTGATTTTTATTCAAAAATGTTTTTGAAAAAATCTGTCCACTTGTGAGGTTTATGCATGTGGTGCACGTTTTATATGCAATTGAGGCAGAGATTTTTTTGAATTTTTTCGAGCTAAAAAAATCTGTTTTTTTTTCTTATTTTTAAAATAATCTCTTTTAGTTATGATCTGATGCAGTGTTGCTGGAGGACAATGCCTGAAGATCGGCCGGATTTCGTCTTTTTAGCCCATCGCTTGAGAACTTTGTTGCAGGTAATGATTTTGATCGAAAAAAAAACTCTAGGATTTAATGCTTTTTCCGAACTGGGATCATTTTGAGAGCGTCATGAAGCTCCCAAGTTTCTCAGAACTTTTGAAACTTCGAATTTTTGTAGGAAAACTCGCCAGATCCGTTCAGCCGCCGAGTTCGTCCAGGCTCTGAACAGTTTCTGCTTCCAGTTCTCCCCGGCCGCCTCTTCACCAACTATTTCGCCGCTCAACTTCATCAGTAACGCGGTGCTTAAAAATAATGAATTCATAATGATCAATCGATTATCGATTGCTATACATAGTGTCGACTATTTACGGGTCTTGACACATTTTTTTTCTTCGTATCTTTTTTTGGACCAATCGATCTTTGAGTCATCTGGTTTTATGTTTTAATTTTTTTTAAATAAATTTTTTTATAATTTTATTTCTTCGAGCTGGTTTAATTCGTTTTTTTCTCCTAATATTCGAACAGTTCTGAGTTCTTTTTTGAAACCAGCTCGAAATTTTCTAGAACGAAGAAAAAATTCTAAAAATGACTAAAAACCTCCTAATCTTTCATTTCAGCTCATGAATTCTTTTCTGAAGCTCAAAATTGTCTTTTTCCATCTTTCATTAAAAAAATCGCCCTATTTTACCTCAAATCAGGTTTCGACACACCCCTAAATCTTTCAAAGCTATTTTTCCAAATAAAAAACCAGTTGAGCTCAGTTTTGTAATCTTCTCTTTTCTCTGTGACGCTTGTCTTTCTTCATTGTTCGTGCATTTTTTTTTCACTTTCCACTGCCACATATCAAATAAACGTTTTTAAATTGAGGAGAGATGTAAAAAAAAGAGGTTTCAGGCGTCGAACTATTAAATATTTGTGAGGTATTTTTATAATTAATGCCGTGTTCAAAGTGATTTCCGCTAAATTCAGAATTAAATGTGACACTTCGAATTTTTTCGCTCTTTGAAGACGCCTGTTTTGAATTCCGCGAAATTACTTCAAGCAGGGCATATTATCGGTATTTTCTGAGGTTCAGCTCTCAGATTTCAATTAAAAAAAAAGGAATTTGGTTTTTTACTGTATCTTTTAAGCGGAACGCGAGCATGGAAATTGTTTATTAAATTAATTTATTCCCACTAACAGGATAAGCAGTGATTTATCTTGTTTTCCAGATGCTTCACTGGATGTTTTCCTTTAAAATGTGAAATTTTTTCCTGCCTTCTAGAAGCTCCAACGGATTAGCTTGGCCGATTTTTGTAAAGGTTGTTAATTGATTTTCGTGCAGAAATTTTACCGAAATGCGTGCTCAATTATAACTTTGAAAGAGACATGAGAATATAGATACCTTTCCATCTCTTTTTTTATTTCCGAAAAAAGTATTGCCGACATCAGCCACAAAAAGAAGGCGCCTCCGTGGGGATATTGCGCTCCACAGCAAATATTTTCACGGCCATTGCTGATATTAGACGAAAACGATGTTTAAACTGTTTCTATCGAGACATACGTCTATGCTGCTCAAAACGGAGTTTCTCCGCCGACGCGGTTCCAATCGCTGATATCTAAAAAAAAATTGAACGGCTCTTATCGTTATGGGCAGAGAAAATATTTTGCGAGAGGCGCGCCAATCTTTCAGATGTTCTCTTTCGTTTACTTCTATAGACTGTTCAGATTTGAATTTCAAGTTTTTGCTTAAGCTCTGGCCGTAATGGTACGGTAAACATGTCAAAGAGCGTTTTCGAATGACGTTTTTGTGCTTAAAATTCAAAATCTGAACAAAATATATCATTTTCTCTTTTATATATTTTTTCGTATCATGATCTATATTCTAGGAAAAAAAGTAAACTTTTATTTTTTTGAGTTGCTCTTGGATCTTTATTAAAGAAACTCAGCACCGCCAGTTAGTATGCGTGCTGAGCGCAAGAGTGACAATACAAGAAGGCCGCGTGCCATTAACACGCATACATGATATTGTACATGTGGCAATGAGGTCAGGTCAACTGGCGTCCAGTCACAACTCCGTAATAGATCTTCTTTTGGAAAATACGTTTCTATGGCAAAGGAAGTGAAAGCTCCTTTTGTTTTTTTGAATTCTAAAGCGGCTTCGTTACTATAGTTTTCTATGTTTTGCTCTTTTCAAATTCGAATATTTCAGGCGTTTATCATGTCGGTGCGTAGCGCCCTCGTTTTAGAAGACCCAGTAGAAAGAGAAGGCGAACTTTACGTGGAAGTTTTTGTCTATGACGAGCTTCAAATCATCACAATCTCCCTTCCCAAAGCTTTTTTCGCGTACGTCGAAAAATGCCTTCATAAATTTCATTAAAAAATCTGCAGACTTTCGGCCGGTGCCCTCTTAGAATTGGAGTTGATAGCGGGCTACGGATCTGAGCTGTTTTTTGAAAAAAACAATGTCAAGCTCAAAGCCGTGCGATGCACTAACACACTTGTGAGTGACGGAGTTTTAAAGGTTTTCTCTTGGATTTAGCACGGTTTCTAATGATATTTTAAGATTTTGAAAGTTCCGGTGGCTTGGAGCAACGACCGTTTGCACCTCTCTTTTGAGGAAGAATTTGCGTGCTCGTCTGATTATGGCTATGTTTCGTTCAAGAAGGAGGAGCCAGTCTTGAAGGAAAAAATTTATTTCGCTACCTTAGTGAGGTCAGTGGCGGATATAGTTGCGTTATTTGTGAACTTTTTTTAATTTAGAAATTTTTTTCACGAGCATGATTATTCAATGAGTAAAAAACGTGAAACGCTGTTATTATTTGATAATTTCAATACTTTCAATCCCACCCGATTTTCACACAAGTTTTCCACCCAAAGTCTGTTTTAAAGAGACAAAAGTGAGGCTGCCAAGGCGTCAGGCGCCTTTTTTGCCATCGAAGGTCGTCTAGAGCCGACTGACAACCCTACAGACGACAAAGACCTTCTCAATTTGAGAAAAATCTTGGCTTTTGAGGTTTTCCAGCCTCTCGTTTTTAGTTTTGACATCTATGTTTAGAACAAACAGCTAGAGAGGAAAAATCAAAATTCACGCCCGGAAAGAGGAAATCAACGGAAGCCTCAGAGAAACGGACCGCGGACGCAAAATGACCGGCTTGTGCCTTCTGGAGTCGATATTTCTTCGTTCGCCACGGTAAGCTTCTGCAAGACCCTTTTTGAAGCAATTTTTGAAGATAAGTATAATTTTTCGGCTGTCGGTCGCTTTTTCAAATTGATCATTTTTGAACATTTTGAAGTTTTTGTTAGTTCTCAATAGTTTGAGTGCTAAAAACGCATAGAATTCTTGGTTTTGGTTAGCTTTTGATTTTCGAAAAATCAATATTCAGAAACGCGGAGTTTTTTTGGGGATGTTCAGAGAAGAAAAAATTTTTTTGGGAGTTTTATGATCAGAAATTTTGAAAACTGGTCAAGCTAAGAAGAAATACGCACTTTAGAATCGTTTACACCCTAAAAGAGTTCAAAAAAATTCCAAAAATTTAAAAAAATTTGAAAAAAACTAAACGTCATTAAAAAAATTGACCGACCGACTTTTTACAGCATGCCTAATAATTCTAAATACTTATTAGAAATTTCGGCTTTTTTTCTTTATCTTCGATTAAGCTTTCTAAAAGTTAGAACTCAGCTTTGAAAACGAAGTATTATATCACCAGTACTTTTTGAGAGGCTCACAAAATTTTCCTTCCATCTTTTCTCCTTTTTGTAATCAAATCGTTTTCAGGAGTGCCAGAATGTTCTGATGCTGGAGGTCAAAAGGGAAGGCGGCATTGTAAGTTTTTATTCTTTTTCACTCCAAGAAAATTTGTTAATAAATTAGGGCTGGTGTGTGAAATACGGCCATGTGATGCTGGAACATGGCGACGGAATGGAGGTGAAACGTGGCGATTGGATCGACTGCACCTTGAAAAAGTGACGAAATTAAATTTTCATATATAAAATTGTTTTTAGAAAGAAAAACTGCCACGTTTTGGTTGTGACGAAGTTGAACGAAGCTTTGGAGCATCACTGCAAGACCTTCCAGAGAAATGGAGTTCTATATGTGAGTTCACAGGGGGACAAAAAGTAGCGATTGTGGTTTTGCAGGCTGAAACTTATATGAAGGGCGATGAGGAAAAGTTCTACCCGAACCAAGAATATGTCCTGCCGGCTCACAAATTCAACAAAGTCTTGGCTCCGTACCATTTGTGTCAGAAGCTCGTTGGGGGAAGGTTCGTCTTGAGAAAATGAACAATTAGCGTCCAAAAGTTGCGAAAAGACAAGGTTTAGACGTCTTTTTTGACCAAGCAAGCTGTGAAAGTGAAGAAAGCCAGCTTGTTACGTTTTTCAGTCCGCCAAAATAACCGTATACAAAGTTAGATCAACATTGAAAATTTTCGCTTCAAGACCTTTTTTTGACCAAGCAAGCAAAAAAAATGGAAGGCTTATCACGTTTTTCAGTCCGCCAAAATATAGTCTGTTCAGATTTTGAATGTCAAGTAGAATGACGTCATTCAAAAACACTCTGTGGATGGCGCGTTCTCTGATTGGTTTATCGCGTCATTAGGGGGCGGAGCTTTAGCGAGGACTTGAAATTTGAAATCTGAATAGACTATAACCGTATACAAAATTAGATCAACATTGAGAATTTTCGCTTCAAGAACTTTGTTTTTTGCTGTCTTTTTTAGCTTTTTTGTAGAGCAAGTTTTTATTTAAGGTAGCATTTTCTTTTCGGATCTTTTGAAACATGTCCGTCTGGCGCGGAACGCACTGTGTGATTATTATAACTGGAAAAGGATCAGAAGACTTTCCAGGTTCGTCGTACGTCTCCGGATGTTGGAACAGCCACGAAGAATCAAACAAACCGTCGTTTATTGGGAGCTTTTCCAAGTCTTTTATCAGTTGAAGGATGGCGAAACTTATGTAAGGCATTGTTTTCGTAGTAATGATACAGGATTATTTTAGGACGCAGAGTGCACGACGGACTTTGTGTAAGTTTCCTTCTGATTTGACCTTTTTCACGCATTTTTGATCTTTGTACGGAACCTATCGATCTTTTTGCAGACCTGGGGAAGATATCCGTCAAGCAGAGCGGCAAGAACCCCTGGTCAACCCGGCTCCAAAGCGAGAGTCCCCTGAGGAAGATTTTGTGAAGCCCGACTTTGAAAAACCTCCGAATCCCTCCGACAAGCCCCAACAAGACACTAAAAAATCTCCGCCGCTTCAAAAAAAGCCAGTTTCCGATGGTTCTGATCGGAGGGGAAGAGAATACGACTATTTGCATCGGTTTGATATTTTACCAATTTCCTGTGAAAATTTTTAGTGGCCACTATAGGGTTTTGACGTTTTAGTGGCCACTTGAGGGGTTAAAATTTAGTGGCCACTATAGTAGTCAAATTATTGGCCACTTAAGGGGTTAAAAATTAGTGGCCACTATAGAGGTCTAAGCGCTACCACTAGATCACTAAACATTTTAGTGGCCACTTTAGGGGTCAATGGATCAACATAACTGGTCCAATCTGTTTGTTTTGAAATTATCAGAGTTACTGCAAGCAATCCTGGATATAAAACTACTGAAGTTGCCACTGAAACGGAACATAGTGGCCACTATAGAGGTATGTTTAGTGGCCGCTTTAGTGTCCTTTCCAAGTAGTCCTTAGCCTCTATAGCGGCCACTAAAAATTTCCCAGTCAGTCGTCTTTTTGTTGAACAAAATTTCGTTCTTGTTACTTTGTCAGTGAGTGCCATACGCATGCTTTCAACAGAAAAAAGGGCGACCCGTCGCATGGAATGACTCAAAATGTAGCGGTTGCGCCCGACCTTTAGCGACTTTGATTTTAGTATACCCAAAGATAGTTTTTTCGGTCTTTGAAGCATTAGTTGGGTCAACCGCGACACGTTAAGCCGGTTTTTTGTGTTTCAAAGCTTATAAAAGCGATATTTCAAGAGATAACTTTGAAGGCTGATGGAACACCCTTTTTCGCGTTATTTTTCAGTCAACCTGTTGATTCGGGAAGAAAAAGCTGCAGTCCGCCGCAGGCTTTTTTTTTCATTTTTTTTCCTCTAAATTTTCTGGTTTCTCGTCTGCATGTGATAAATAACGAAAAAGGTTAGTTTTTCTTTAATTGGAACTTTTCACTTTTTTGTTTCAGATGACCTCTGAGAGCATCTTCAGAGCAACTTCTTGAAGATTCACTTCAAAGCGATTAAATTTTTTTCATATTTAAAGAAAAGATTGTAAATATGGATTGATTCGAAGCGCATGGATTCAGTAAAAGGTTCAAATAATGAATGGAAAGCGGCGGCGGACACGCGCGACACTTACAAAAAAAACTTCACGTTCAAAGGGATAGAAGTCATTAAAAGTTTACGCCGTGTTCAAATTTCCGGAAAGTTATCTCTGACTCTCCAAGATTTAGTTATCTTTATTTTCCTCTGACGGCTCTCTTGCATTTCCCGGGATCATTTCGAACACGGTATAAGTATAGCCGATTCACGGCTAACTTGGGACGCTGAAGAGGCGTGGTGTGTCTGCGCTCTCCACCAACCAGGCACTATCTCTTTTACTCGCATGCTGAGCAGGTGTCTCAACGGGTGTACCCGTATTAAACCCGTGTTTCTGAGGTTATTTTAGTCTCAGTTGGGCTAAAACGGGGGAACAACGGGTGTAAGAAAAATAGGTAACCCAGCTGGGCTAAAGCGGGGTCTCAGTTGGGCTAAAAAGTGCCAAAAGTTCTATCAGCTGGGCTTATACGGGTTTAATACGGGGGCACCCGCGGAGACCCCGTGTTAGCACGGCGGGGTTACCCTGCTCAGCATGCGAGTATAACCGTGTCAGGACCCTTTTCTCGATGGCTCAAGTCAGCCGTGAATCAGCTATAACCCCGCTATTCTGGTCCTTCGAAGTGTTCAGGGAGGATTTTGTAAATATAGTCAGGGAATGGCCAAATGTTTTTGTATTTCTAAACACTCTTGAAAGCAGTTTTGTTCCTATCTTACGGTAAATTGAGTTTTTTCCAACATATTTGAATTTCAAATGCCCTTTTTTCAATAATTTTGCTTTTGGTTGTTAAGAAAAGTCATGATCAAAGTCCGTAAACACAAAAGTTCAGTGGTTGACGAGCAACTCTTTTTTGAATGAATATGTTTTGCGTCTGTTTAAAGTCCTCTCAGTTCAATAATTTCTGTCAACAATTTTTTTGTCTAACCAGAGGACGAACGCATGAAAGTTTACAAAGCAAGTTCGCTCGTTTGAAAAAAGTTTCAGTGTTTGGAATTTTTTTTCCGATTTTGTATGCAAAAAGTGTGTTGGAAGAAACAATCTGCTTGATAATTTTTTCCGATAATGTAAACATTTTCGAAAAAATTAATTGACACCGCTTTTTTTTTTGATGGTATTAATTGTATCTCTTTTTTCGCGTTTTCGCTCATTTATCCGTTTATCGATTTTTATTAGGAAAGGGGTTTCAGAGACGAGAGGCCTCCGATGCCGTACAGTACTGCCGGCAGCGAGTACACGTCCCATTCGAGGGCTATGTCTTCTCAATCCGGCGCGTTTCGAATTGAACAGGTTTTTTTCTAGAAGAGATTGGATAATGACCAGAAGGACCTGTAAATAAGTTGACAAATATCAAAATAGGAAGGGTCAAAAAGGCTCCATAAAATGTTCATTTTAGGGTGGTAAAGGCTCCTTTTTTGCGCCATTTAATAGGCCTTTACGCACCATTTTTGGTCCCTCTCCCCTTTTCCACCATTTCTCGAGTCTTTAAAGTTCTAAAAAAAAATGGAGGGACCTTAAAGGGACTATTTTTGCTGCCTTTCTGCGGCCTTTTTTGAGCCTCTCTTCTTTTAGCGGCCATTATTCACCGTTCCGACCTTGCCAGAGATGAAAAAGCTTATGTTTCAATATTCGTTTTTTTTTTCAAACCCTGTTTTCGTCTTTCTTTATCCGCCTTTTTTTTCAAAAGCTTTCGAGCGTTTTAAAAAAAAGTGGCTGAGAGATTGCGTTAGGAAAAATCTGGTTCTGCCACACTTCTTTTTTTAAAACCAGTACAAAAAACTAATTCTAATATTCAGAGAGCTTTTGTTTCTGAAGATTTGAAAAATATTCGTTCAGGACTGCCAAGTGGACGGCGTCATTGTTGCTCGATGTCCTCAGTACGCGACGGTTTTTGCAGCACAACTCGGATTCGGTACCATGAGCCTCGACTTGTTCGTTCATTTCTCTTTTCATTCCATTACTGGGAGTTTTTTTTTTCAGTTTCGAAGACATAATGCGACCAATTGCCCCAGGAAATTATATACGTTTCAAATATGCTATGGTAGAGGGGCAGTTCGGTTTCAAGTTTGCCGTCCAAGTGAGCTAATTTTCAACAAACAATGCTTCATTTTTCATTGGGAACTTTCCTAGAAAATCATCAAGAAATTGGATCATCTGCCCGATATTGACGGGATTTTCATTAAAACCGACGGTCATGTTTTGGTTGGTTCTTGTTTTCCGCGGAAAAAAGTCTGCAAAATGATTTTTTCTGTGCAGGTGGAGATCAGAATACGAATAGAGGCCCTACAGGATTACGTATTGGCAGGAAGCTATATCTACATTAAGACAAACTTCGGACCCGTTTTTGTCGATGACGAGGTTTTTCTTAAAGTCCTTGAAAACATGTAATGTTCTTCGATGACATTTGAACAGGTTTTTATTATTCTTTGACTTGATTTACGCGCAAAAATCTATTTCAAAACATGCCAATTGTTCGATTCAGAACAGTAGCCGGGGGAATTCCGGTCGAAAGAAATAAGTTGAAAAACTCAAAGCAACATAAAATAAGAAATACCGGCGTTTCGGTCATACATTTTTTATATGGAATTCAATCTTTCTGAAAATTTCTGGAGTTGTGATGACTGTTATATTTAACAATTTTATGAAGTTTCAGCTCACAGAAAAAAAAACGCATATTTTTAAGAAGATTGAACTTCTTACAAGAAAGTTGTGACGGAAAACTTTTTTTTCTTCTTCTTTTCAAATGTAGCCTTCTAAAAAGAGGTCTCTTTAGAGAAAAAAAAAATCTCACCAAACATTAAAAATGTTCTCCGAGAAGTTTTTCTCAGTTCACACGGGAAGTCATTTCACCTCGGGGTTTGGTATTTTCAATAAATTTGCTCAATCTTTGATGCACTGGAAATCGATCACATATAGTCGCTATCTGTGCAAACATCTAGTTTTGGAGATAAGATTTTTCTAAGTTTTTATCCGTAACCATGTGACGCCGTTTGGAAGGTTTCTGGCCCCGCTACCAACCATTGCATGGCAACCACAACCGTGGTGCAGTGGCTAGCGTGTTAGCCTGTTGAGTCTATAATGGAAGTTCGAATCCTTTTGCCGAAAAAAATGATTTTGATGAGAATGTTGAAATTTTACGAGTATAAGAGACCATTCCAAATAAGTTTGATTGGCAATTTTTTTTCCCATAATCAATTTTTTTTCACGGACCAAAATTTCGGAAAGTTTCTGAATTTGTCGCAGAGGGATCTTCATCTAGACATTCAGAGTGTTTGTGTAAACTTGTAGAAAATTCCAAATCGCAAAGTAAATATCTTTCCTCGTGTCAGATTCGTTTAACTCTAAAATTTTCAAGCTCTGGATTTTTTTTTTCAGATTCGTAGCCCTAGCAAGTCTTGCCCCTTCACTACGGCGGAAGAACTGACTACGAAGTGCAAACTTCAAGTTCACGTAGTTCGGCTGGCTGGCGCCTTTTGCAAAGTGCCCAGCGTTCTTTTTGACGAAGACGCAGAGCCGCATGAGTTCAACGACTACTATATGTTTGCTCTGAAGGAGACTTTGGGTCGTGAGGAGGTTCTAATTCACTTTATTTCGGCATGAGGGTCGGATGGAGCAACTTAAAATTTGTAGAAAATTATAATTTTCCCATCCCTCATAAATGAAAGAAAAAACGCAAAAAAATAAAAAATAAATTTCACTCCTTAAGTTATCACTAAGAGCTCTGAATGTGTAAAAGCTTCCTCTTACAGTTTTAGAGGAAGCTTGATTTACTTGAAACTTAAAGTTTTTACTTACAGTACTAAAAAATTAAACCTTTTTTCGAAGTCCTAGGGTGGTCACTAACAATCCAAGAAGCCCTAAGTTTCATCTTGACCCTAGAACAATCACTTATCTTCATTTCTTTTAAATCTACCTAGTAAGACTCCTTGAGTAATGGTTTTAAAAGGGCTTCAAGTTACTGAGACTCTTAAAGCGGTCACTAATAGTCGTAGAGTTCCTAGAAGGATAATCGCTTTTCAGTTCTCCGTGTTAAGAACCCTTGAGTGACCACTAATATTTTTAAAGAGGACTTGAAGTGTTTTTGAGACCTCTAAAGCCGTCACTACAAAAGTAAAAAAAAAAGTCGAGTATTCTCTAGTTTTTTCGATTTTTTAAAGACGGATAACGCAAACTTTTCCAAAAGACGAGGGCTTTAACGCCCGAAAGAGACGCCAGAGAAGAAGAAAGTTTCTCTGTGTCTGGTGTCTCTTCAGCCCTTTCTGCTCTCTCTCCCCACAGGCATTTGTGCCCCATCATGCTTTTTTGCCACCTTTTTTTTGGTTAAGGCTTTGATAATCTTTTATTTTTGCAGATTGTTGATGCGAAAAGAGAAGCAGAACGACAAAAAAATGTGAGTTTTTTTTTTCGAATGTTCTATCGACTTTAGGATTTCCAAGTTTCAGATCGTTTGAAATTTAGAAAAAAAAAACTGTTTAAAAAAATGGAGAATTTTAGAGCGCTTTTTTTTTGCGGGTCTTAGTTCTCACAAAAGTTTTTTTTTTAATTTTTCTTAATGCCGTTTTCAAAGTGATTCCGCGAAAACCAAAACAATCGTCAGAGAAAAGAAAGGAAAACTAAATTTTGGAGGCCCAGAGATAATTTCTCATTTTGCTGAAATGACTTTGAACACGGCGTAAGCAATACACGTGCTATTTTCAAAATCCCAAAAACGCATCGTGATTTTTTGAAATAACTTCTCCACTAACCTGCTGTAAGTACATGTCAGCGTCAATTTTTTTATGAGTTTCTTCTCTGGAACTGGTTTGAGAGAAATTTTGGGTGTTTCTTCTCCTATAATTTCTCTCCTTTTTTTTTTCTCGTGAGAAGATTCAACGAAATAAAACTTGGACGGAAAAGTTATCAGTTTCTCCAAACATCGGCGTTTCATTATACCCACATTTTTCTAACGAATACCTCGTGATTCCAAAGAATTTCATTCAAGCTGAAACAACAAGACGAGACTGAAGATGAAATCGCGAGAGCGAAAAGGTCGATCAAACAGGATGCGGCCGCTTTTTCTGCACAGAAGTTCAACGGAAGTTTTGGCGATATCTCTTCGACGTTAGTTTGAGAACAAGTTTCAAGATGCCAATTATAATTTTTCATTTTCATTTTACATTTATCTACTAATCAAAAGTTGGATTTTCGTTTGAACATATCATTCAAAAATAGGGTTTGTAAGCATAAATGATTGAAAATTATAAAGTTTTTGCACTTTTGAGACCCCTTGAGAACCTTTAAAAATCCGAAATTTCTACCAATAATGATCGTTAAAACTTTCTATTAAGTACGTTCTCTCTCTTTAAAAATTCTCCTCCAGACGTGCTGCCAGTCAAGCTTCTTCCGCATATTTTACCCCGAGGCCCTCAAATTTCCATGGTTCTAATCCGCATCCTTCACCTTACATCCAGGAGAGCACTACAGGTTTTTTTTTGTTTCGAAACTTGAATGAATGATTTTGAAGGGTTTCATATGCCTTCTCCAACGAAGTATGATGCTCCCAACATGGATTATATGAACTCCAGAGAGGTATTAAAATTTTTTGAAGAAATTAAAGACGTTTTAAAATTCAGAAATTTTCATTTTTAACAAAAATATATCATTAAAGCAGGTAAGATAAAGAAAAAAAATAACTGGAATAGGTTCATTTTTTTGAAGTATGGGTAGTAGAAACGAACAACAAAACTTTACAGACAGCAAGTTCGCGCTTTCGAGGGCCTCCTACGGCCTCCGATGATTTTCCGCCCTACGAACTTTGTCTGGAGATCCTCCAGGAACAAATGAATACCGTCAAAATTCGCCAGTTTTTGAAAGCGGAAATGTATGAGCGTTACGCACAGCTCAGCGAATACAAGGGATTCACGGTGAGCTTTTGAGATTATTGATGGGATTTTGTGTAAAATGAGCGTCTCTTGATTGATTATTTCACTTTTTAACTTTGAAAAACTCTGTTTTTAGCAGAATAGTACAAAAAGAAGCGATGATGTTGTTTTCCGAGAAATTTAGGAATTTTCGAAAAAATGATCAACTCCGAGTTGGTTCTCTTCGGCGAGCAAACGATCCTGCGTCCCCCGAAACTTGAACATGTACTCACATTTTTCTGACTAACAAAGGCGTGGCGCTTCGATTTATGAAATAAAATTTTCCTATATTTGGGGTCCCAACCGTTCAAAAAGCCCATAAAAGAAAAAAATCAACGATTTTTGAAAGAAAAAGAGGTTTTTTTCTTTTTTTATTTCTTGCTGAAAAATGCTTTAAAATACCGTTATGTGTGTTTTAAAAAAAGTTTGGAGTCGATCCAAAAAATTTAGAAAAGTTTACTAAAAGCCCTACCGTAACCCAGTGAGGGGGCGGAGCCCCACAGTAACTAGCCCTAAAGTTTACAAACCATTTCCAGTAACTGTGATAATAATTTCAACTCTCAAAAAAAACTCGAAATTCTTGTACCAACGCTTCACTGCAGTTCATCGGCTCCCATCACAAAAAGGTTCTATAAGTTTCAAGAATGGAATCTCTATTGCAAGAATTTCCAAGTTTCAGCAGCCCATGTTCGGAGGGAGTGTTACTCAACCGTTCGCCTCGCAGCCGCCGTCTCACTCGCGCCACCAGTCGCAGCCCCCGATCGAGCCCCATGAAGAGTATCAGTCGCAGCAGCAGTTCTACCGTCCGCAGTCTCAGTCGTATCAACCTTATCAGTCGCGTTCGCAGCCGCCCAACCAGTCATATCCGCCGCCGTCGCAGCAGTTCTCCCGTCCCCATTCGCGACACGAGCAGCACTCGCCGAACGAGCCACAGCAACAGTATTATCAGTCGCGAAACGGGTCTCCCTATCAATCGCAGTACGATCAGCACCCCGGTTCCTCGAAAGAGCGCCCCATAAACAGTAGCGCTCCTTGGAGAGATAAGGACTTTTAAAATATTTTCCTGTATTTTGCATCGAAATATACATGACGTTTGTCCTTTTCACTTATATCCCTTTGGTCTTTTAGCCATAACATTCCCTTATATCTGCGTGATATTTATTAGTTAGCATATTTGCCCCCATCGACGGGTTTATCAAGCCAATTTCTTGTCAATTTAATTTAATAAAGGTTCAACCTTTTCAATTTATGTTCTGATGATCATTTGTTCTCGACGATTTGCGAATATCTTTCTGAAAGAGTTGCCTCTGGTTTGGTATCCGAATTCTTAGCAAAGTTTTTCGGAGTTCATTCTTAAAATGACATATGATCCGTTGAAAACTTGCAAAAAGTATTGGGTAAAATAATGGAATTTTCAGGCACGAATTCTTTGTTAATATATGTAAATACAATTCTGAAAATGATGAGCTCATCGGCTAATAAGGTAGCGGAAGCAGTGAAATTTTTTGCAAGTTTAATTTTCTAGAAAGCCCCGAAACGAAGGGTCACTTCAACGGCAGCCGCTCTAAGCGAGCCGCTGAAACAGCCCGACTCGGTGGCCAGACTCTTGGAATCTCTCCAAAAAGCTCAGGTGGCGATTTTCGGAAATCTTACTGTTCCTATGTTGCAACGACAAAAAGTAACTGATTTTGAATTTGTCGAGGCTTCTGTGGTTTTTGCTTCGGAAGTAGTACGTATAAAGAAGCGTCACGCATTTAAAATTATGTTTTGAGGTTTGAAAGAAACTTGTGAGGCTGCTTTTTTGTTATATCTGAAGCACGAAATAGAAATGTTGTGTGTGTGTATATAGCCTTTTCCGCGCCAGCTTGTCACGTTTTTCTTTACGCCAAAAAGACCGATACCAAATTAGATCAAACTTGACCAACTTTGCTTCACGAAATTAAGTTTTTTTTTCTTTTGCAGTTTTGGAGAGTTCAGAGGCGGTCACGTTTTTAAAGAAAATCAGAAACAGTTTTCTTATCAATTATGCCTTTAAAACAGCAAGAAACAAAGGTCTTGAAGCGAAGTTGGTCAAGTTTGATCTTGCCTTTCGGCGGAGAGAAAAACGTGACAAGCTGGCGCCGAATGGACTATAACTTCAAAACGGGATATCCGTTTTATTCGAAGCTTAAATTCATTTTTTTTAGCTGGATCTTGTTAACTTTAAAAAAATCATCAAAAGAGTCATTATAGACAACAAAAAATTGTTTAGGCTCTGAAAAATGTATTTAAGAAAAAAATGAAACCGTTTGAGAGTCTCGAAAGGAAGAAAGTCCCCTTAGAAGTTATTTATGAGAGTAAATATATTTTTAATTAAAGAAGTCTTCGAATTACAAAATACCTAATGAAATCACTGTACAAAACTCAATGGAAAAATCATTCTTCATCTTTTTTGTTCATAGTTTTTCCATTGAAGAACAAGCCCTCGGCGCCAATCTCAACCAAGGGCTCCAGCTCCTCTACGCGTTCCAGCGGCGACAGCAAAAAGACGACGTCCGAAGATGCTTCCGTCAAGAATCCCTATTCGCAACAATGTTCGCCAAAAATCGCAAAAGATGTTCATAATTCGCGTAATTTTAGAGGAAAAAAAGCGTCGCCGCACAGATGCAACAGCCGCAGGCGGCGACTGATAAAACGTCGAAAAATGTACTTTCTGGCGTTTCAAATTCGAATCCGACCCAGTCGAAGCGCTCGCGTCAAGTTTCGGTTGGTACAGCTTGGAAAATCGTTTTCACAAAAATTGTTCTTGTGGTCTTTCGATTATTTCCGAAAAATCAAATAAACTTCATAATACGATTTTTAAGTGAAATAAATAAAAAAGCAAAATCTCAAAGTACAAAAAGTGACGATTTAAGAGAAGATGTAGTTTTTTAAGGCACTTTTTTCGGAGGGTTTCCTTAATGAATCTAGCCGAATTTTTTTTTAGGAATGTTATACATAGGCAAAGTCGGAAAGGGTAGAAATAGGCTTCATAGAAATGTTCCTTTTAGGTGGACAAAATCTTCCTTTTTGCGCCATTTCATGGGCTCTAAAGCACAATTTTTGCTGCCTCTCCCTTTTTTCGCCATTCCTGGAGCCTTGGAAATCCCAGAAAAATTAGAAAGGTCGATAAAGGGACTCTTTTTGTTGCCTTTTTGCCGCATTTCTGAAGCCTTTTTTGAGCCTCTCCCTTTTAGCGGCCATTATCCACCATTCCGACTTTGCCCGGGTGGTAGAATTTGACAATTTCCTCATTTTTATATTGCGCATTAAAAAAACCCCCATAATTCTTTCGAATATTTCAATTTTTACATTGCCCTTCAGGTTTCCAATCCCCCGCAATCGCAAGCGCCTCGCTCCCGGATCCCAGTGGATGTCCTCGAAGACCTCGATTTTCGTTTCATCAGCAACATGCACGAACTCGACGTTAGTTCTGGCCTCGTTGATCAAAGCTTTGAAGATATTTCAGAAGCGGTCGAAAATCCGGATCTGCTTCCAAGTGGAACTCGCCCATTGGTATTATTGCGACTTCTACGTCGAGAATTCCGAGCGCCGCGATTGTCCTGGCGTCAATATAAAGGAATTCACGAGGTTTATAATATATCTGACAGAGTCCGGAAGTTTTACTATCAAAGAACTTTTTTGTGGGAATTGAGAAAAAGCTGTAGTTTTCTGGAAAAGGGTGTGGTAGCCATATAATGGAGGAGTTTTTTTTAATCATTTGGTCTAGGTAAAGAAGTCTTTTGGTACCTCCCCCCCGCCCCAACAATTTTTGAAGATTATCATGGCGATATTCATTTTTTCAGGCTCCTATTTTCCCATTGTAACGAGCTGAGACGCTACGCGAATCATGTCGATGAGGTTCTCCAGTCCTAAAAAGTTTCACGAGTTTATTCTCGAGTTTTAAGATTATCAACGAATGGCGCGATTATAAATCGAACGTGCCGACGTACGGAGCCATTTTGCTTGACGATACGTTGAATAACGTTCTGTTGGTTCAAGGATATTACGCCAGCAAGAACAGTTGGGGGTTCCCCAAGGGAAAGGTTGGTTTTCCCGTTCTTTTGAATGTTTTTATGGCCCATTCCGTGTCAAAGATCAAATCCGTATTCGCTTCTAGGCCTTTTTTGCTTTTTTGCAGTTTTCTAGAGCAGTTTTACGGTAGTTCTTCTAAAAAAAATTACCGTTCTGCGCGAAATGCACTAAACGTATAACTGATTCACGGCTCACTTGAGCCATGGAAAAAAAGGGTCTCAACACGAAAGAAAAGTGCCCCCAAGCTAGCCGAGAACCGGTGTTCATGTTTAAATATCTTCTGACCTATCAGTGGGCCACTGATAAATTATGACCTGGTCATCTTCCTGATGGAGGAGATCCGCCAGGGGACAGTCATTCTTGTAGAATCCCTCCTTTTATAGCTTTTTGAGACCTGGCCTAGCGATTCGCGGTCTATTTTTCAACACTTTGTCGTTACTTCTTATTTAATAATCTAGCTGGGAAAATGTTTAGTGGCCACTATAGAGGTTAAAGACTACTTGGAGATGACACTTATCACACCTCTATAGTGGCCAATATTTTCCGTTTTAGTGGCCACTATAGAGGTTCTCTATTCAGTGGCCACTAGAGTTTTTAGTGGTCTAATAGTAGCACTTAGACCTCTATAGTGGCCATTAAAACGTCAAAACCCTATAGTGGCCACTAAAAATTTTCCCAGAGTTATGAAATTCTTTTTACATGAGCGTTCATTAGACGTAATCTTGCGCTTGGGATTTTCCTGAAAAAAAAACTACCTTTTGATCTACGAAGTCTGCTGGCTTCTTAGTTTTCGATATTAAGGTCTCAAAGTTTTAAAATGTCCATTTGAGAGAATTTTGAGGATTTTCTTCGACTTTAAGTTGTTCTTTTGAAACTGGTAATGTTGAGAATTTGGGAATCCTTACCTTTATGAAGAATCTTCTCTCTTCAATACACTACTTCGAAACTTCAATTTCTAATGAAATTTTTTCTCTTGGTTCCTATATGAACTCATAAGTTTTAAGGTCAATCAAAACGAGCCGCCCAGGGATTGTGCTGTCCGGGAAGTTCGCGAGGAAACGGGATTTGATTTCAGCACTTTGCCCAAACATGGCGTAATTTCGTTCTTTTCCTTTTCTTTTGAAATTTCGAATCTCTCTAGAAAAAATTCCAAAAGTTCATCAATGACACGATGGTTCGATTGTACGTGGTGCCCGGGGTTCCATACGAGTTTCCATTCGCGCCCGAAACTCGCAAGGAAATCAGGTTTCCCAGGTTTTCAATGCAAATCCTTAAAACACAAAGTTTAAAGGAAGATTCAATGGTTCAACATATTTGATTTGCCGGCGGATCGCGGAGAGACTAGTGGAGCTTTGAAAGGAAACAACTTCTATACGGTCACGCCTTTTGTGAACGATCTGCAGAAGTATATTCGAAAGGAGCAAGAGAAACGCGCCAAAAACAAGGTAACATTTAAGGAAATCCTTAGGGGCCCTTGAAGGTTCTCCTTGAGGGACCACTTTTAATCCCTCTATAGGGGCTACTGAAGCTTTTAAAAGTGACCCCTATAGAGAAAATGCTAGGCGTTTGTTCTTAGACGCTATAGAAACCACTTGAGCATTAGAGGCTTCGGGTTCAGTCTCTAAACCCCTATAGGGATCACTCAATCTCGCCTCTTTACGGGGCACTTTTTGTCCTCTATAGAGACTACTCTGACGTTTCTAATACATTAGGCTGTAAGAAGAGTTATTAAAGTCTTTTTGTAATAGTTACAACTTCATGTCGATATGAGAAATTTCCAGCACGACCCTACGAAATATGAAGACGACAGGCTTCAGCAACTTCGGGCGGCGATCGGAGTCGGCGCCTCGTCTCAGAGGAACCCTCTCCGGTACTCGCACCAAGTCTCGACCGAACCGTCGTCGGCCGCCGTCGTCTCGACACCTCTGGACATCCCGCCGGTCTTCTCGCAACTCTTCCCGTCCCTGGGACCCCAACCGAAGAACGACCCAGCCTCCGACCTTCTCTACGACTCTCCCAGCAAGCTCATCGAAAACTGCACGACGGACCTCTACACGCCGATCACGAACATTCCGACGCGGCTCCTACGCGCTCAACCAGACCAAGGCCAGGACTTGTCGCGACCCAAACTTCCCGACATCTCTCCAAATGTTTCTGGCATCGACGCGCTCGGAACGCTCGGCTTGTGCACGCCCATCAAGCCCGGCGTCAACCCGTTCCCCCATATGATCGCCTTGGCCACCAAGGACCCGCAAGTTCCGCAGTCGGGACGGCTGGAGAAGAAGACGGCGCCGCCGCCGCCTCCTCCTGCTCCGCAAGAATCTGTTCCCGTCCACGCGCCTCTCGATCCGCTCGTCATCCATGAGAACTCGCTCATGTCACAGGCGTCGATCGGAAGCGACGGCCGCGGATTCAGAAGGGCTCTCAACTTTGGCGAGCATCAGGAGCATCACGTCGCCAACGTGGCGTCTCTGCTCAGTCCTCAGGATATTGGGGTCAATTTTTTTTTCTTTTTTCCGGGGCAAAGTTTGTAGAAGAAAGTCGAGAAAAAGGGTCCGAAACTATTATTTTCCGGAAAGCGGAAAGAGAATAAAAAAATATCTTCATTGGTTTCCGAAATTTTTAAAAACTGAACCTCAAAGCGGTCAAGAAGGTCTCAAATTTCAAAGGCCAATAATCGATGTTTTAAGCAGGGAAAAAATTTTGGAAACTTCAGAAAAATATGGAATTTTTTTCAGAAGTCGCAACTTTCCCCGTTCCTCTTGAGCCAAGTTCCGGATGGGTTCACCCCGATCAACTACACTTCTCACGGTTTCGCCATGCCGACTGTTTATCAACATCCCATGGTCACGGCTGCTCATCCCGGCGGGACCGCAAAGCCATTCGGTCAGAGCCAATTTCCCGGCTCACAATGCTCCGACGCAAGAAGGTGGTTTTCTAGTTCTTATTTCCCCTGTCATTGAAACCCATTCGTTACTTCAAAATAATAAAAAAAATTTTCTTCAGTTTATTCGGCGACGTCGACGATCCCACACGTGGCCTCTTGGTACTCCTCAAGCGTGATCCCGCCAAACTACCACCAGAATCCGAAGGTCGCGAACGCCGTCTCACACGCCGACTTTTCGATGCTGCCGCTCGCGACCTCGTCGCCAATCGAGCCCCGACGACCCGCGCAGCCGACACCTCCGCCCCTGTATCCGTACTCGCGCGAGCGGCCGATCCACCCTCAGGCGATCGTGCCCGTCGCCGCGAGCCCCACGGCTATCGGATTCGCCGAAGCGCCGAAACGCAGCTCCCGCATCAGCCTCAGCGATAGCTCGGTATCTCGCCAAACGGATTATTCTACAAAAAGTAGTTGTAAAAAAGTGTTTTAAAAAACTTGATTTTTATTCCGAGGGTCCGTTATTCATCGAAAAGTCTCTCAAAAATGAAATATTTTGAGCTGAAAATGGGTCATAATGCTAGGAAAAAAAACATGTAGCGTTTCTCTTCAAAACTGGAAATCTGAATTACGGGCGAAGTTCAGAAGAAAGGAGGTTCAACGAAACCTTCGGCACCTTTTATGGACTTCAAAAATGAGCTCAAGTTTCTTCTTTTTGAGGCCTTTCAAAGTTTTTGCTAAATAGTTTCATTCTGCCAATGTAACGGCGGAAGCGGGAGAACATTTAAAGCCTGAAGAGACGCCAGAGAATGGAAGATACTTTGCTTCTCCGACCTCTCTCACTTCTACTGCTTTTCCAGCCTTACCTTGAAATTTTCATATTATTTTACCATCGGAAGAACTATCACCCTTGTTGGTAAAAAACTCGCTTCCACTTGCCTTTTAAATGTACGACACTATTTTGTAGGCCTTCACTGCGATTCCGAAGCAGTCGTCGGTGGCCAAGGCGACGGCGCCGCCTCCTTCGCCTCCGCTCCACTCTTCTCCCGACGTGACGTCGCCGCTGTCGGCCAAACAGCTACCTTCTCGGCCGAGTCGACACAGTTTCGGCAGCAACAAGGGCTCTGCCAAGGGGACCCCGACTAAGAGGTCCGTTTTCCCAGAAGAACTTAGGAAACTCTGTTTTGAATGAACGACCATCGCAAAGGTCCTCAGACAGTACGTCGAGCTAAGAGAGTACGATTCTGGTCTCTCCAAGTTTACCGTGCTCTCTAAACTAACGCATGCGCACTGACTTGCCTTTTATAGTCTTTTCAGATTTTGAGTGTCGAGCAGCTAACTCCGCCCCCAGTTACAGTATCTTTCAAGTCAATGTTTAATGTTTTATGATGGTCCTTTAATAGCGCTGCATTTTTTTGCCTTTTTATTATTCCTGTTAGAAAATGTAGCAATATTAAAGAATCAAAGGGAGCAGAGTTAGCTTGGGGGAGGGGGCGAGTTAGCTTCTGACATTCGAAATCTGAACAGACTAGTGTATTTTTCTTCGTAGTTGTTTTTCTACAGTACCACAATGGCCTAGTTTTCGTTTCGATATCTCATAAACCCTATAGACAAATTCTATTTTGTGAATCTACAGCAACAGAGGCCGCAACTTGACGCCTTTGGCCGTCTCAGCCGCAGCGGCGGTCGGAGCCAGGAACGCCGCCCTGTCGATGGGATCTCCTGCGAGCAGCGTCCGGACCGCGACTTCACCGGCGGCTTCCTCGCAGACGGCCTCTCTGCAGGAGCTGTCCATGATCGGCAGAGAGTCTCTGGCCGACCGCCAAGTCGTCGACCTTTGCTCATGGCTCAGCCCTACCACCAGCAGAACTCAGTCGTCACCCCGACGACGCCTACTCCGCTCGACCTGGCTCTGATCAAGATCCGCCTCGGCGAGGCTTGGAAGCGTCCTTTCAAGGTGGGTTTTTCTTTCTGAAGGTCAAGCTTTCCTTTCATGGACCTGTACAAAAAAAGGATTTTTTTAATTAGAGTTTTTCGACACTTCAGGCAAGTCTGCAAGTCTCAAGAAAATTTCAAGCTCCCAAACTCATATTTCTTAAAAAATGCAAAAAAATATTTAGAATTATATCCTTCGAAATGTTTTTCTCCTACTTCAATCGCCATGCTTTGAAAGATTTTGAAAATTCGAATTTTCAATTTTTTTAAATGAAAATATGGTTGGTAAATGAAAGCCTCTGTGCATTTTTATACCTTCATTCGAATCAATCTTAAAAAGAATATTTCAGCTCGATCTTGATTCCATTTGCGGACCGCCGGAGGTTTGGGACCGCGCTTTTGTTTTTAATACCGGCCTTCTATCCCAATAACTGTAATAATCTTCAATATTTGACTATTTTTCTAATAACTAGACGTTAACTTTGTATATATTCATGAAACTTGGTTTTCTTTATGAATCGCTGTATTTCTTGCACTTGCATGGCTTTTTTTTCGCTCTTCAAAACCTTATTTCTGTGTAACTTGCTCAATTTGGAATCAAATGTGCTTTTTAGCTTTTGCGATTGAAATTGTCACATATTTTCACGTTACGTATTATTTTGAAACGACTGATAGAAAAATAAACGAATGCCAGAAATTGAACTTATAGAGTACTTAGGAATTCGCGGAAATCCTGAGATTGTAGAGTGTCGATTTTGTTTAGGTTGGTCAAAGCCGTGAAGTGGTTGACGTCGGGGTAATCCTGGAAAAAAAAAGTTATGGAAAATAGTTGAAACGAGAGATCAGCTGCGGCTTGAAGAGACGCCAGAGAAACACATTATCCATCTTTCTCTGCCGTCTTCGTACCACCGCTGTTCTCTCGCTTCACTTCTTTTTGAAAGACAACTCACCTTCAAAACTATTTCCTTCGTAGCCTCTGCGAGGTTTCTGTTCTGCTCGACGAGTTTGGGGGACTCGTCTGGGCCCAAAATGATGGTAGTTTTGAGCGGCAGGCCTTGTAGAAGAAGATGATCACAGTTGTTCTTTCGAGCCTCTTCTTCTGTCAAACTTTGGCGGAAGTTAGGAAAAATTCAGCATAGCCCGTTGAACAAAAACATGATCAGCACAATTTCATAAACTTTTTTTCTGAAGTTAGAATAGACCAAGAAAATCCCACCTGATAGCCTTCCCGATTTGCGTATGAACTAGCTCGTCTAACTGATAAACGCCTGCGATCAAAATCAGCCCTTTGATCTTTTCGGACCGAACCCTTGTCGCTGCTGAAATTGAGTTGGTTCGGAAAAAAGAGCCGTAAAACCGTGAAAAGCCAAGTGCGCTCCAGCAGAATGTCCTGCGATGGCCAGAGTTTCGACTTGGGGATACGATTTGAGCAGGAACTGGAAAAAGTTTGTCAAAAGAAATTTGAAAATTGCAAAAACCTCAACCCCTCTGATGACGTCATCGACAGTGCAGCTGAGCGGATGCTCGGCCGAAGAAAGGCCGTACCCTAGAGAGGCCACTGCGAACCCTTGTATATGCGCTGGAGCAACTACAGATAAGCAATCTTTCCGGGTTCCTTCCTTCAATTTTTGAATTTTTTAGGGATCGCCGTGCCCTCACCTGCCAGTAGCCGCCGTGAAGAATGATCAGAAGCTTATCTTTCACTTCGCCCCAGGTATCGAACTTCTGCCGTTCTTCTAAAAAGAAAAACGATTTTTTGATTTTTCCTTATGAACCATCTCCGTAAGGCAGATCCTCTTCGTGGACTTTTCCTTCCTTCGCGGAATCGTAGGAGTTTTTTGTGTCGCTGTAGAATTCGTTGAGCACCTGAAAGTTCAAAAGATCATTTTGTTCTTGATTCTACTGATAACGTTCCAAAAGGAATTCAATTTTTTGATTCTGGAAGTATAAAAATAGTTGGAAGACGAATCAAACTTGTCTTTCAACTGACTTAGACTTCGTTAGCGAAAACCGGACGATTCTGAGCGATTCTAGGGGTCACTTAAGAGTTCTGACGGTGCTTAAATGGTCTCGACACGTCCGATTCGCGTTACCAATGTCCGAGTGACATTTTCCCATACCTTTTCTGGATCTCCTCCTTTGACCCAAACAGACGGCGAATACAATTTCGTTAGTTCGTCCATTTCGGTCATTATTGCTTTCTGTAGTTTTTGAATATTTTTGCAAAAAAACAGGAAATTAGAACAGTGTAACGAGCGACAAAAACAATTTGAATCAAAGTTCGTATACTGCTGACTTTGGACACAAAGTGTAAAGAAAGGAGATTTGAACGTCTTCCTAGTGTTTCCCACAAGCTTGCCCGGATTATTTTACTTTTCTCCTAGGTACAAACGCTACGGAGTAGTTTTGGTCATTGACCTCTTATCTGATCAACAAAATGAGTTGGCGCGAAAAAAAAATCAAAAGTTTTGCTTTCGAGTTTTTTTCTTCCACCATTTTTCTGGTCTGTGGAAAACAATATTTTTCCACTTTGAATGTTTTTTCCCGTTTTTTACACAGCTGAGAATCGTACGAGCAAGAGAAATGGAATGGACAATAAATGAAAAAGTAAACAACGGGGAGCGAAAACAATTTGAAATTTAAAAAGCGTCGGAAAGGAAGAAAAGAGGGCATATAAAATTGAATTTTCAACTTTTTTTTTTGTTGAAGAACAAAAATCAAAATGGAAGTGATCTAACGTTGTCCTTCGCATCTAGAATCGAAAAAACAGCGAAAAGAAGAGATTAAAAAGTTTTTTTTTCATCAAATTAAGTTAGCAGTGATTGGACTATCCATATATCATTCAAAAAAAAAGTCAATGACTTTGTTCGTCTGGTGTCTACCGATTTTACAGTTCTCTAATTGCGATAGATACTCGGGAAGATACTCGACAACAGACGCACGTGCTTTTTTTTTTGCTGCATGCGCAGTTTTTCGTCTTTTCTCGCTCTCACTTTCCTGACACTTTAAACCATTCTCCCTCGCTTTTTTCTCCAATGGTCTTCATGACCCTATAAAATTGTTTTGGTTTTCTGTGAAAGATAAGGCGGCGCCGAATTTTCGTCTTCTCTTTTCCCGAGGCATTTTTTGTCGGTTCTTTTGTCTTTTCAACCGTTTCATCTGTGTTTAAAGGAAAGTGAGATGGGAGAATAGGTTGGAAATTTCAGTTTTGATTGTATTTGTTTCAAAAACTTTCCAGTCAACGTTTTTTTTTAGTTTTTTGTACCATCCATAGTCATATTTTTTTCCTTTTCTTGGCAGGAGTCGAACCAGGGACCTTGCGGAAAAGCATCTCCCCGTTGAACTATGTTAAACATCTTCGTTTTCATGAAATTTTTATCCTGTACTCCAAGATCAACCGAAAAATGTGGTTTTGAAACAGAGTTGAGCTCTGTAATGCTCCGTTGAAACCAAAAAAAAAGTCGTGAAAAAAACGATTTTTTTTTTCTCATATTTCACATTTACACATTGTACATCACTGTTTTCGATTTTCAAAACAAATTATTATCATTGAAAAATCAATCCATTCTCAAAATCAAAAAGGCGCAGAAGAAACATACGTGAAGACTTTGAACCCAACTTTTCACGCCATTCTTTTTTTTTCTGTTTCTGGTGCCCTTTCAATCAAATAAAACAACTGTTGGTGGCACGTGGCGTTTGGTGCATTTAGATGGATTCCGAAACTTTTTCGTAGACGTCAGCTGCCGCAGACTTTTTCCCCAGTTCAATAGAACAGACATACTTGTCTGATTCCTCGTTTTTTCTTTCTCCTTTTGAACTTTTGTTCCTATTTCAATTATTCTGAGAGGGTTTTCATGTTTCCAGCAATGGCGAAAAGATCGGTCGACTTCTTTTTCGACGTCATCTCCCCCTACAGTTACTTCGGTTTCGAGGTATTTTTTACGGACAAAAGATTCGTTTTTTGAAAAAATAGCTCACATAAAAGTTTCTTTTTGAAAATACCAAACATGAGAAAAATTTCGACCGAAAAAAAGTGCCCCTAAGACTACATTCTAGTTTCGCAGAACTCAAGATTTCCAGAGTGGTCCCTATAGGGGCAAAGTTAAGAGGCCATGCAGGCTGTTCTCTCGGGACCACTTTGGCAACCCCTATAGGGACCTCTAAAGTTCTCGAAAGTGGCCCCTATAGGGGACGTGCTAATTTTCAACTTTTATGAGTTCTAAGAAGCATTTGAATGAATTATTGAAAGACCCCCATGGTGGTATGAAAAAATGACCAGCGAAAACTCAAACAGCGACTTTTCCGATTTTTTCATATCGCTAGGGAACTTTCCGACGGCCACCTTTCCGACGAATCTTTTTCCGCCTTTTTTTCTCGAAGAAATTTTCGTTTTAAAACTTTCTATATAAAGTAGGTAGTTGGTTAAAACACAAAGAAATAGGAAAAAAAATTCTTATAAATGTTTTATAAACCGAAAAAAATAAAGGAGAAAAGTCGGAAAGTGTTCCGTCGGAAAGGTGGCCTTCGGGAAGTTCCCTAGCGATATGAAAAAATCGGAAAAGCCGCCGTTTGATTTTTCGCTGGTCTTTTTTTCATACCACCACCCCCCATAGGGACCACTCACGCTTTAGAAGCAGCGAGGTCAGACTCTAAACCCCTATAGGGACCAGGTTGCTTTCATCCCTCTAGGAACCACTTAAGCTTTTGGGGCAAAGGGGTCAGACCCTGAACCTCTATAGGAACCACCTTGGTTTTACCCCTATAGGGACCACTTTTTCGGCCCCTTCAGGGGCTCGTTTTCCTCCTAAACCCTAGAGGAATCACTCTAAAATTTGAAATAATTTCGGAAAACAAGATTTTTGAAGGGTATCACCCGGCACAGACATCTGTGGAGCACTCCGGTCCGGCTGAGGCCGTTCTACTTCGCCGGCGTGATCAAACAGTCGAGTTTGTTACCCACAAGGGAGAATATGTTCTTCAGAACTTTGAAAATTGTGTAGTAAAAGTTCTGTAGAACCCCCTCCCTTATAAGATATCATCAGAAAATAAGAAAAAAGATTTTTTCAGAGAACGAAAGTCCTCCATTGGCCATTCCGATCAAGGAAAAGTACATGTACAAGGACCTGGTGTTGAACGCCCAGTACTGGGGTGTCTCCTTCAGAATTCCAAAGGTTCACTTGATCACGTCCTGAAATTGATCATGAAAGTGACGTCAGGACTATAAGAAGATGATGTTCACAAGTTCTTCCATCGAAGCTCAGCGACTTCTGATCGCTGCGCAGCTGAGAGACGAGGTTCGTTGTTCTTCATTGAAAGAATCTCTGGCCGCATTTGGAATGGTTCGGTACGAGGCGTTCGCGTTGCGTTTTCAAGGATTTTTTGAAGTCAAATAAATCTCATTTTTTCCAGAAGCTGATGGAGAACATAGCGAGAGGTCTTTGGCAGCGTTTGTACGGCTACAACAAGGAGATTTTCTCAAGACACGACATGGAGTCCGTTCTTCGAGACCGACACGTCAAGGATGCCAACGAGCTCATCGAATCCTCCCAGTCCGACGAAGTCAAAAAGATCCTGCGGGAGAACACCGATGAAGCCCTGCAGACTGGCGTGAGTCACGATTTCTGAATTGGCTTTGAGATGAAAACAACCTTATTCCAATGGTTGTACACTGCTAGGACCTCAGTAACGAACACTGAGCAATCCTAGGGATCATTTTGAAGGGTTTATGCTACTAAGTTGGCCACTAGAAACGTCCGAGTCAAATCCGGTACGGGCTACCAAGGTCCCAGTAGTTGCTCGAAAGCCAAAAAAAAACACTTTTTTTTGCTTTCCTAAGCTTAAGTTTAGGATCTACTCAATAAAAATTAAAGTTAGAACATAATAAAATAAAAAATTCAGTGTTTCGGCGCTCCATGGACCACCGTAAAAGACGCGTCCGGCAAGACGACGCACGCGATTTTCGGCGGCGACCGGCTCCCACAAATCGCCGACCTTCTCGGCGAGAAATTCCACGGAAACCTCCTAGACCAGGCAAAGTCCCAGTGGAGCTTATGACGGCCCTTTATTGCTCATAAATTTACTTCTCATGTAAGGGGATATCTAATGAAAATTTATCCGGAACGGCAATATGTTAAAGAATCGAGCATTTGGAATAATTTAATAGTTATTTAACAAACATTTTACATGAAAGACAAGTGCGATGTAGTTCCTAAGGGACCCGAATCCTCTCAAATACCTAGTTTTTAAAATGAAACTGTTGGCGGCTGAATGGTGTCCTCCATGGGCGATGCTTCGGTGCTGTTGACCAACGAGGTCGAGCTGTTCGGGGCTTTTTGGGGCTTCCAGATGCCTTGAGAAACGCCGTAGAGTAGGCCGTCGATGAGTCGCATTTCGTCAGGTTTTAGATGGTGCATGCTCACCAGGTTCTCATGAAAGATTGATGGGCCCTGGAAAAATTAGGGTAGCGTGAAAGAAGTGGTCACTTTAAGGGTGTAAAGAAGTGCCATGAAAACGATGATTTTACAGATATGAAAATATCTGAAAAATAAAAATCTCCCATCACGCTCTCTTGAAGTACTAACCCAGAACTGGATCGGATCCATGAGGAAAGAAGGCGTCAAATCGGCGTGGAAGTGCTGCTCAGGTCTCCAAGGTAGGAAACGTTGACGGCCCAGCTCATCTCGGCTGTCCAGCGGGTAGATGTTCATCGAAGCCAGGCATCTCCAATTATAGAAGCATTAGTTAGGGGAAAAGACTCTAGTGGCAACTTAAGAGGTTCCTCGAAGGCTACTTGGAGAGAACACTACAGTGGGCACTAAAACCACCACTGTACTTTGCGTCTTAGTGGCCACTATAGTAGTTTTCTAGTAGTACCGTTTAGACTTCCAAAGAAGCTACTAGATTTCAGCCACTAAAGAGGAAGTCACTATTCTGCGTCTTAGTGGCCACTATAGTAGTTGTCCGTTATCTAATATTACCGTCTAGACTTCCAAAGAAGCTACTAGATTTCAGCCACTAAAGACCAGGCCACTAATTCGACTACTACAATGGCCGCTAAAACAATCTCTAAAGAAGCCACTATTTCGCGTCTTAGTGGCCACTATAGCATTTTTCGGTTGTTTAGTAGTACCGTTTAGGCTTCTAAAGAGTTCACTCGATTTTTGCCACTAAAGAGGTTACTAAAACGTAAAAACCCTAAAGTGCTTACTTAAAACTTTCCAGTGTAGTCAATTTTAACCGTTTTTGAACCAATGAAGGCCATGTTAATTACATTCTCTGAAAAAATCTCACCTCGCGATAGCGTAGTCCTCCCACTCGTGATAAGGACAGAGGCTCTTGTCGTGAAAAAGTTTCTCGGCGAAAATCCGCATGGCTGCTCGGCTCATCGCGTAACCGCTGCCTCCGGCGTTGTACCCGTTGTTCGGCTGAAATCAACTGAGTCTTCAAAATTCGGAGAATATCAACTCGCCATTCTCCGCTTCAATCGATAGCCGATGAAATAAGGCTTCTCGGGGTCGAATCGAGCCAAGTACTTGCGTAGATTATCGACGATCACGTAAGTGTCATCGTCGGCTTTGAAATACCTTGAAGGTGTTTTTCAAAGCTTCTCCCTGGGTTATTTCCTACCAATCGAACTCCGAAGAGACATTCTGGTAGACATACAGCAGGGCCAATCGGGTTTTCCAGAAAAGTTTGTAATAACTTTCTGGAAGTGAGTTGAAGACGGTGTGGTAAGGAATCTGGTCGTCAAGAAATCTGGGAGAATTTGTTAAAATGTGGGAGGAATCGCAGCGGGGAAGCCAGGTGGAGTTCACGGCGTTCACCTGGAAAGTTTGAGGGTTTGAAGATTTCAGAGCTTCTTAGACCCTCGTCTTATGATAGATAGAAGTTGTCATGACCCAACACATCAAGCTCCCTCTAGGAAGTTGATTCTGGGCCGCTTTCGAAGTGACGACGTCATTCAGAAGCTTCTCGTTGTAGGTTCTGAATCTCAAGAAATGAGGAGCACTTTTAAAGCGGGCAAACTCGAATCCGCTGTCGTCAATCGGCAGAAACGGGACGATTTCGATGCCCGTTTTGTACTGAACTTCATACAACGTGTAGCTGACGATGGCCAACAACAGGACGACAACGAGGGCCGATAATCGTTCCGAAGCACAGCCTTTGAGAAGCCGGAACGACTTCTGTCAAGCAATTATTTGATGAAATCGAATTTGAAAAGAAACCTTGAAATTGTCCTTGCATCTGTCGTTCTGGTAGCACCACATGGTCCTTTAACTTGTTGGCATCCTTGTTTTCTGAAATTTATTTGGATTTCGAACAAGTAGCTCTATAAGGCGTTCTCCAAGACTTGAGAAACTGTCTGACTCGTCTACTCTCTCTCATCTCTCGCAGAAGTAGAAAAAGAAGGTAGTCAAGTTGCAATGATAAGGATATGTCCGAAAATGTGAAAAAAAAAAAAATTGAAGAATGCTTCAAACCGAGAATTTTTGACCTTCTATCAAAATTTGAAAAGTATATGCAAAAAGTTTTTTTCCTTTATGAAGTTGAGTCTACCTGTCAGGTAAGAAAAAAGTTTAGATTTATAACGGCTATGTCAAACAGCAGCTGACAGGTGAGATCAAACTATAAACTTATTTCTTCAAAAGTAAAGGCGAAAAGATACCCTTGGTTAACTGTTCAGAAAGAAGTTTCACGAGATCTCAAACAGGCGAATAAATCTCATTTAGAACAACTATCGCGGTGAAAAGCAAAAGCAAACCTTTTCTTTGAAAAAAGAGGAAGAAGGATGAAGCTAGCCGGAGACGTCGTCAGGTGTCGTCGGGGACTGAGAGATCGCCGGCGGCAGATAGACGACGTTGCCATCTGCTGCCGTTCACGGTTCGCCGCTTACAGCCGGCTCCTCCTATCCGCATCTCCAGTTTCCAACTTTTTTCATCGGTTCCAAGCGCTCTTTTTGGCTGAGACCTTGCCAATTTATACCTGTTTATGAGGGGACACAAGAGTTCCTGAGCGGCTTTTTTTCGAACTTAAAAAAACAGGGAAAAAGCATTCATGAGAGAGTAGCAGTGGCGTGAAGAGACGCCAGAGAAGCAGGGAATTTCTATTTCTCTGGCCTCTCTAAAAATCGCTGTATCACTTCCTTTCTACTTTCAACAGCCAGACTAGGGTCTTTCTTCAAGATTAAAGAATCAGAGCTGAAAAAGCGATAGCGATCTGAAGAGACGTCAAAGAAACAGATAACCTCTCTTTCTCTGTCACCTCCGCTTTCGTCTAGATACTTTTCAAAGCTGTTTCCTGATAAAACACTTCCTGGTGTTTCCAAAAACCTCAAAAATCTTCCCTTAACTGTTTCAAGTGTCCGATATTATCGTGACGCAACACGTCCAGCTTTCTAAAATGCGGAGATCTCCTCAGAGATAGCAAAGCCGAACTTGCAAGAACAGCATTCTGGGTGCATAGGGAGAAGCCTCGAAAAAAAAAGCAAGGCCGCAGGAACAAATTAACCCAGAAGTTCGTGGGGGGATTTATGGGGATCAGATAGATCGTACTGTCCGTTCTAAAATAATCCTGGAACGGCGCCAAGTTTTTTTAAATTGAATCGAAAAAACGCGAAAATTCCATATTCTTTAATAAACTCTGCAACAAACAATCGATCAACTGAATTCATGGCTGAGCGGCAATATGATACACTTGGGAAAATGATAAATATTTCTCACGTGGAGTTCTCCGTTTGATGTTCCAGTTGGGAGGAAATTGGAACGTATGGGAAGGCGTCATGGAGGGACAGGTCGATGTGCGCCTGAAAATATTTAATTTTTGAGTATTAATTAATTATTTTAGACTTTTTCTTACGCTTGTTTCTCTTAGAAATCAAGCTAAAATTTTTAAAAGTTGTTTTGAGCCATTTTTTTGAAAGTTAATTAACCAACCACTTGCTATGAAGTTTCAATGATTCCTAGCCCTATTAAGGACTCAATTCCCCTAAAAATTCGAAATTTGACAAAAAAAACTTCTTGGCAGAATGATGAAAGACTCTGATTCCAAGTCTTACTTGGGAACCAAAAAAAAAAAAAAAAATTTTTAACGCGAAAATCGCTAGCTTTCGAACTCGTATTCACGGATCAAGTTCAAACTTTGGTGTTTTAATGATCTAAGTAAGGGTACTTAAAACAGGCAATAAAATCTGCTAAACCCTAAAGACAAACTATATTAAAAAAGGAAAATATGTGATTGATTCAGCCCTGAGAAAGTGGTTCGCATACCTGAACAGAATGGAAATTCCATTATTTCAATGTAACGAGGTAACACTGGCGAACTTTCTGTCGAATCTGGCTCAGACCAACAGTTTCTCTACGGTGGCCGCTCACAGAGCGGCCATCACGACGTGGCGAAAAGCGAGCGGAGAGAGCTGGACAGAGTCTACTCTGATAGAGAGAGTGATGAAAGGCATATTCAGAAAGAACCCACCGAAACCGAGATACGCTAAGATTTGGGACGTCTCAATCGTTTTGAGTTACGTCAAATCACTCGGGGAGAATGGGAAAATGGGTCTAAAATCCCTGTCTAGAAAGACAGCCATGCTTTGCGCGCTGGCAGCGCCGAAAAGATCCTCCGAATTATGCCACCTAACTCTGAACCTTCTTAAGACTAAGGAGAGTTCGTGGGAGTTCACGATACCCGGTATGACGAAGAATAGGGGTATGGGGAAAGCACACTCAGCGGTCCTGGAAAGATTCCAGGAAGACGAGTTGTTGTGTCCGGTGATCACTCTTGAAGCGTACATTAAGAGTACTATAATGTATAGAAGCCACAGGAAAGAACTCT